TGTTGTAGTGTTGTGTAAGATGATGCATAGTGTCACCCTCGCTGTCTCACCATGACTGGTCACGAGCTTATCTGCCTTTGGATTTAAAAGAAGACCCCAGCCAGGCTCGAGTTTCAGATATTTGGGGATTTGGTCCTACAAACCGCCAACCCTAAACCTTCGCATTCCGCCTGCGGCTTGCTTCTGTGGCTTAGGCGGAGCCCCTGACAAAAACCAAAGCCTCAGGGCCTCGGGTCTTCACCCAACGCTTGTCAGGGGACCTTACTCAGATCAAGGCGCCCACATGCTCTCGGATCTTCAGCTTCAGCGGCCCTTAGGAGTTTAGGGCTTAGGGGTTTAGGGGTTTAAGGCTGCTCTCGTTCCTTGGGTCGAAAGTGCCAAGGACAGCTCATGAGCCTGGACGACGTCCTCATCTCGGCTTACTTCTGTATGAGTAGTCTCAGAGTCTATTTAGAGGCTGTGATTGAAGGACTTGATGTACTCGAGGCTGTAGGGCCGTTGGCTTCTTGAGAGTTGAAGTTTGAGTGCTCAGCGAGAGCGACCTATGCCTATCTAGCTTCACGAAACAAAAGCGCCCTGCAATATTTTGAGCTGCACACGAGGCCAATGGTACCAATCAAAGCAATCAAAGCGATGGTAATCAGGACGCCGAGGCCCCTGGTCTGCAAAGCCCTTGAGGCACCCGTTGGCGGCGCAGGTTAAAGATTTTGTGAGTTTGCAAAAAGCATTGCTCCGCGCTAACTCCACTGCGTCACACCGTCCGTAGGCTAGATGTTAACGGAATGGTGACAACACGGGGACAATGTCATGAAAGCCCCTTATCCTGAGACCTCCGCCTAATCCGAAAGCTGAGGACAGCGGTGACAGTGGTGACAGCGATGACGGGCCAAACCCCACCGCCTCCAATACCTCCAATAGCAGTAGCGAGGACTCGGATCCGATTTTGCCGTCCAAGGCGGCCACTTGGCCGCAGTCTTAGGCGTTCCCTACCCCTCCACTCCCCTCTATCTCTCTTATCTCTATACCTCTATACCTCTATGTTTATATCTTTATATCTCTATATCTCTATATGTCTATATCTCTATATCTCGAAATCTCTATATATCTCTATATCTCTATATCTCTATATCTCTATATCTCTATCTCTCTATGTCTCTATTTCTTTATCTCTCTATCTCTCTATTTCTTTTCTCTCTATCCCTATCCCTATCCCTATCCCTATCCCTATCCCTATCCCTATCCCTATCTCTATCTCTATCTCTATCTCTATCTCTATCTCTATCTCTATCTCTATCTCTATCTCTATCTCTCTCGCTCTCTTGCGCTCTCGCGCTCTCTCTCTCTCTCTCTGTCTTATATACATACATCTACAATAGGTGTGCAAAAAGCACTTACGTGATGTCTGGGTGTGGTCGGATACAATTGAGGCATCGTGCGGGCCCACCAATTGGGGTGTGAAGGTGCACATATACATGACAGTTTTTGTTTGCTTTGGTGGGTGGGGTTTTGGGATGCAGCAGACCTCAAGCAAAGCCTGAACTCCAAACTCCAGACTCGAAGCTCTCAGATTGTTGCTGGCTCCCTGACCTTCTTCGTGGGCAACGCGACCTCAGAGCAGGTGCAATCGGCTGTCAAGGCAAGGTTCTGTTTTGGGGGCAGGTCGAGAGCAACCCAGGTTTGGCGAAGGGCGATTTTGTTTAGGGGTTCTTACGCCGTTGGCTCAGTGCTCCTCTTTCTTGCTCATTCCTCTCCTGTAGGGTGTATCGTTGAAGAGTTTCGCTCTTGTCTAGTGCTGACATCCTGAGTTTCCTTCATGTACCCCTCAGCACATGTTGATGGCTCATGGCTTATTGGACTGTATACGTACCTCTACTGTTGCTGTCCACCTCGTGTCCATGACCGTCCACACTCGTGCCCTCGTGCCCTCTTTGTGCAAATGTCTTTCAGCAAATTGGTGTTCGCAGAGGCCTCCTTGGAGCGAAGCTTGCTGATCAACCCCAGTGCCATTCTGGTACAGGTCTCTGAGGCAGGGCACACTGCCTTGTTTGGGAAGGTGGGGGGGGGAGGGGGGAGGGAGAAGCCCAAAGCCTCCTTGATCTGGGCCTTTCCCAGCCTTTGACTTGCCTTTGCCTACAGTTCAAAAATCCTTGAACCTCCAACCGACACCCTTACTCTTGTACTGGTACACGAAGCATCCTCCAGGTCGTTACCCGACGACTCGCTGCCTCAAGGCGTCTCGCAAACACCTGGCAGGTGGGATGTGGGGTTCCTGGCATTTGGGCTTTTGGATACGTAAAATTGCTGCAGGCGAAGCCATGGGACTTTCGCTTTGGGGTATTCTATAGATTTGGGTCAATCGGGGTACAGATTCGGTGTTCTTGGGCGTTATACTTCTCACTGGTACAGATTCGGTGTTTTTGGGTGTTGTACTTCTCACTTTCAGAGTTCAGGGTTCAGAATTCAAGGCTTCTTAACAGCTTTGGGCTCTGACTACTTCAGCACAAGGGAATCGCGACAGCCTCACGTTTCATTTTGCAGGTCTGAGTCTTTGCGAGTCTGAGCTGGGGAAGGGTGGGTATGCAGGGATGTCTTTTGGTTGTTTGGTTCTCTACAAGCCTCCCCCAAACCCCATGCTTCAGTCGAAAGCTCTCACTCGAAGACCATGCGCTGCAACAGGCCAGCTTCGAGGTCATTGTGGAGTCGCAGGAGGCTTCGGTTCATAAAGACTCGAATCATGTCCATGCCATGGGGGTTCATGTGCCTTATTTAGTAGGTTCGGGGTAAATTTCGGGGTAAACCTGAGTGCCTTTGAAAGTTGTTTGGTTTGGGCCATTCTGGGCACGGGTTCAGGGTTCAAGCAATCCCAGCGCAGAGCCCCTTCTTCGACCTTGGCAAGCTGCACAGTCCTCCTTTAAGAGTAGGATGGATTGGCGGGGTGACATCTAATGCCCAGGTGCCCCCTCGCATTGTGCGTGTTGACAGGTTGGGGTCCTTGAGCATGTCGGAGAGAGAGACGGCAGAGCCTCAAAAAAGTGCCATGTCCTAGGCTACAAGTAGACTTCTGCGGCTGCAGTCGCTGCCCTCAGTTGGACATGTTGGCACTGTTTGGGGTGATTTGGGCGCAGGGCACTGCGGTCGAAGACGCCCTCCTGGCCATCAGTGGTGTGCCTGTTGCAATAATGACGGCTCGGTGGTCCTTTGTTCTGCTTTTGTTTTGGTTAGGGGAGGGGGGGGGGGGTTTGGGTTTTCGGGGAAAACTTCTTCAGCTGGTTTATAGGGCTTATACGAAGGTGTAAGGAGGGCTGAGATTCGCCTTCTGGCAGTTCCGGAGTCTCAAGGAGTTGCGCTGGTTGGCCTCTCAAGGCCCCAAATCCAGACATGACATACTGGTACTGGTAGCACATGTGCCGATCGTTAACTGTGAGTTAAGGCAATTCCTCTTCGTTCCAGACCATCCTGTCAGAGGAGCCCCTTGTCTGGCACCGGGGGGGTCGGTTTAGGGTTGTCCCGGTTGAGGCGCAGACATGTCTTGGTTTGGCTTTGCGGGTTTCCGGGCTTCCTTTGCCGCGGGTGTCTGTGGTTGAAAACATGAAGCCCCGTCATCACGTGCATCCAAGGCTCGTGGAGCAAGGGGTGGACCCCGATGCAGCGAACGCATTGGTCATCCAGACTTTCGCAACGCCCACGGCCACCCAGTTGAGTGCTTCATTCTGGTGTGAAAAGGTTGGGGATTTAGGGGCTTCGGTGGGTGTACTTGGGATTTTGAGGTGGAGTGCCGTGTGGTCTTCCATTGCTCAGGTGACGTTCGGCGAGCTCACCACAACAACTACGGTCACCCTCACAACCACCACGGTAAGCAGTGCAGAGCTGAGTCCGATTGTACATGTACATGTGTGTCTGTGTGTGTGTGTGTTGATGGCTTTACCTTACGTTGGTGAGCTGAAGAATGGGCTTGTGGGAGAGGAAGCTAACGCTGCAGCCCAGGCACCAGCACAACTGCGACCATGACAACCACCAGCAGAACGGAAACCATGAGCTCCACGACGACCACCTCTACCCTGTCCGACCCTGAGTTTGGCAACAAACTGGTGCGGCCCTGCTTGGTGGTGTATCCGTGTCTACAAAATTCAACGACAACTCGGCCCTGAGACTCTGAGGACGGGCACCTTTACCTCCACGACATCCTCCACCACGACGGGATGCAATAGCTTGATAGCTTGGGATCTGGGGATCTGAAAATTGGGCGAGCCATATTTTGCCAGATGGCTCGGGTAAACTTGTGCAGAGGGACTTTGAGGTGGGCTCACATCTCGGAGCAGAATCCATTCATAATGGGCCCTGAGAAGCAATAGGTTTTGCATGTTGAGTCTCTAGAGTCTAGAGAGTGAATTCGCAGGAGCAGCACGACCACCATGGTCGTGTATTGGTATCGCTGGCTCGTGGCCAATGCCGCATGGCGCATCGAGCACAGTTCGAGGTCAGTTCTCACATGTTTCCAACAACCGCGACCCCCACAACAGCCTTCTGCGAAGGCCTGAGAGACAAACATTCGCTGAGGTCTCGTCCGAAGATGACGGTGTGACCGTACCCGCTGACACGGCTTTGGAGACCAGGGGTCTGCAGGGTCTCTGCGCTTTTGGGGCCTGAAGGGGGCATGAGGGCCTTTAGTTGCTTTAGTTTCTTCGTGTGCGGGGGGGGGGGGGGTTGGAATTGGATTGGCTCGCTAGGAGAACTTCACGCACATCTTGATCTACACGAAGTCCTCACTGGAGGAGCAGACGACGCCAACTGTGCGGGCCTTGGGCGAAGCGAACATTGCTTAAAGTTGTGAAGCACAGCGTCTCGAGCGTTCTACTCCGGAAAGTGCTCCTCCATAGCGCAGAAAGGGACCAACATCCGCATGGAAAGCTAAGCATGCCAAGCTTTCATTCCCGGAAGCTTTATAAGCCCGTCTCTGCTCAGAGCTGAAGGTTCAAGCTGCAGCACAGCATAGAAAAGCCATGAAAACGTTCAATGCTCCAAGCACAGCACTGCAGCAAGAAGCGCCTCCGCGACAGGTCTTGGAGATCAATGAGACAGATTCATCTATCTCTTCCTTGGCCTTCACAGATAAGGAGCTTCCTAATGTACCCCCCAAATGTCTAGTCCTTTGCGCAAACGTTGCAGCCTTCCTGAAGTCAAACGATGCGCCTCTTGAGTGCCCGAAGGACCTGGACCCTGACGAGCTTGGTGGAAACGTGACTTGGACCGAGCCGGTAGATGCCAGGCTCGTGTAGCTCGGACAGCAGCTCATGTCAAGTTCTGGTATTTCTGGAATGCTGTGGCTTTGGCGACCCTTCGGGTTGTGTTTCCAGATGATTGTGCAAGTCGTGTCTCTGTCCGCCGGTCTCAAGACGCCTTTTCAGCCAAAGTTAGCACTGCTTATTCCGCTTCATGCGCACGAAAATCCTTCATGACTTCTTCCTTCCAAACCTCGGTCTTCTGAGGCAGCAGTACTTCTTGTACCTCGGGTCCAGCCTGGAGGGATCAGATCGCGTGCCGGCAACTCACCGAGGAAGTTGGAGGGAGCAAGCGGATTCTCCTCACCTGAGCAGTCCACTGAGGGGGTTTCTTCGGGGCGATGGCAATACGGGTTTGCTTGAGGGCTGATTGTTCGGAACGTGGAATGTGTGGGCGTGTCGCCCAGTGATCCTTATGATCCTTACAACGCCTCGGCTGCCCTCGCCCAGGTGCCACAGTCGCTGCCCGTAGGCACGGAGATGGCCACCATCCCGGCCGAAACGCAGCGAAACTTAGCCACGCATCTGCTGGTGGCCTGGCCCCATAGCCCGGTAGGCTTCTTGTGGATCTCCAAGTGTCCTCCAAGTGTTCTTCCTCGAATTCTGAGTTGCTGTTGAGGTCCTGCTTGATCCTTTGTTCTTTGCTTTGCCACAGTACCAGCTCGGACCTGGGTCGCGGGTTTCGGGTGAAGGTCGAACTTGTGCGGTCTGAGGCGCAGAGAAGCCCCTAAACCTGATGGGAAAACAAAAGTTCTGGCCACAATACAACTCTGCAAGGTCTACACCGCCTCCTCTTTAGCAGAGCAGACGACGCCTGTCGCTTTGCAGCTGGTGGACACAGTCCAGGCGGCCAGCACATGCCAGAGCACGGCTCCCTCTGGCATTGAGTTTCTATGTAGGCGGTTGGGTGCAGGCGGGGGGAGGAGTAAGAAGCTTTGAAGGGAGCCCCTGAAGCCAGTCGACGGCCCCACTTCAGTCCAGGAGAGCTGAGGGGAGAGGAATCACTTGGGAGCTTGAGATCCGCGCCCTCTGCCCAGATAGCCGCGAATGTGTCGCTGTACGATCTCGACTTGGACCTCAAGGCGGATGAGGGCCGTTAAACGGCTGTCGAGGGGGCTTGAAGAGGGGGTGTTAAGAGGGCGGCTTAAGGGCTGTGTCTCAAAAGGCAAGAAAATGTGTGCGCGCAGAATTTCGCTTGCATTTCTGCATCAGCTGCTTCACCAGCTAGAGTAGCATCGCTAGCAGAAGGTGCTCAGAAGATGCTTGCGACTAGTATACAGTGTTACAGGTCCCTATCATTGGCATTGACTGCGCAACCCCAGACTCCCTCTCGAACTCATGATGAGGATAGCAGGATGGTTACCGTCGCTATAGGGCCCACCAGTAGTCATGTGTAGGGCTCTGCAGCGTTTGTCTTCGGAGGTGTGAGGCGTTAAGTTCTTGAAGTTGGCTTTGCAGGGCAGAGGCCTATAGAGTTGTGGATCTCGACGAGAGTGGAAGGAAGGTGTCGACCGTTATCTTGTCCAAAGCCCCACCTCAGGAAGCAGGAGGTGAGATCTCCTGGGCTCTTCCCGAGGACGGGAGCACAGTGGTGCCAGTGTGGTTCGGGTTCCAGAAGGGCTCGGGGTCTCAGGGTGTCCGGTTTGATGCTCAATGCCTCGGTCCGCTTGCTGGCCAGCTATCAAGGTCTCACGGGAAGCTGTCCATGCTGCACATTGAACCCTTGCCAGAGGATCCTGCCGGCCTAGTCGAGCACTTCGACGTCTACATTGCAAAGCTTCCTGAAGGCCCAAAACCCAAAACCCTAAACCCTAAACCCTCAGAACCTTAAACCCGAAAGAATCCCACACCCTTAAAACCCAAAACCCGGAAAACCCCCCCAAAAAACCCAAACCCTTAAAACCCTACAGGCCCCACTCCCTAAAAACCTTCCCTTCAACCCTAAATTTCCCTAGACCCAAACCCTAAAAAGCTAATCCCGAAACCGCCTAAACCCGAAGCCTTCTCTACCTAGGAACATGTAACCCTTGAAGAGACGTTTTGTTTTTGCAAACCCCCCCCCCCCCCCCCCGCCAGAAGGTCCTGGCCCCTCGCCGCAGCATCCCCAAAAGCCAGGAAACCTCGGGCCAGGCCAGGCTCGCCTTGAGCTCTTAAAGACCCCGTCGCCCTGACAGGAGACCTTGGATGCAACTCTTCCGAGGAGGATGCTTCCTGGCCGTGATCGGATGGGGCTAAAGTGTTGGAAAGGGCTCGGAAAGGGTGTAGTGCTCAGGTGATTCGGGTGACCTACCCAATCCCAGAAGTGCCAAGACTGCAGCACATGTCGTTGTGGCAGCCAAAGTATGTCAATGTACTCGACTTCCTGGGATGCGGGATTGAGGCTTAGAGGCCGCCGATAGCTGCCCCAGTTTAACCGCAGGTCTTGAACGGCACCGACAGCGACTCGACCTTGTCCTGCGAAGTGCTCGGCTTCAGCTGCTGCTTTCGCGTGCCTTTGGGAACCCTTGATGCGTTCGCGGCTCGGTGCAAACACCTAATGGGGCTAAGGATGTTCTAGGGGTGCTTAGGGCTGTACAAATATGGCCAGTGCCACGGTCCCTCGAGGAAGAGTGCGCGAGTTTTATCCACCGTCGCTCTGGATTGAGGATGCTAACTTTCCATAGCCAGTTGTGCCAAATGCACAAAATGAGTGGAAATAGAGCAACATCCAAATTCGGAGCTTAAGCAGTCAGGGCTTTTGGTTGGCTCTTGGCTCTTCAGGAGACCAATCTGTCTCTGCCTGCGGAGACGGCGCTGGTGGACTTCACCCACATCCTCGTCTACGCCAGGCAAGAGGAGAATTCGGGATGGGCTCTTTTTTGTTGCGTTGCCTTTACCTTCAAAGATGTTCGATTATCTTCGGGTTTTTGTGTGTTGAGTTCAGACTAGATGGGGCTCCAAGAAGCTCAGGCAGTGACTTAGGAAGGTGTTTGGGGATCTATTTTTTGTTTGTTTTCTCCTTGTTCCCGCAGTTTCAGGTCGCAGTTGGCCGAGCAGTCCACCCCCGCGCTGCATTTGATCAACGACGAATCTGCCACCCGACCAAATTCTGATCAGGGCCTTTTATTAAAAAAAAACCTGTTTTACTTCGAGCTTGAACTTAGTACTCTAACTTCCAAGTAGCTAAAACCGTGTTCTAGCAATCGGCCCCTTGCGGGCAGTTCATGTGCACGGCTGTGACTACATCTCTGCCACTGAGGCCAGTGTCTCCCATGTCGTCTTCCTCGCACCTTGGATCTGCAAGTGATTCCAAAGCCCTCCGATGTCGCAATCACATCAGGAAGGCGGAGCTGTCGCGAGGCTTTGGAGCTTGGGGCATCTCCGCAACCACAAGACCGTAAGGTCTACATGGCTTTCGAGCTGGGGCATCTGCAACCATAAGGCTGTCAGATATACATGCGCTTCCAGTCTACAGCGTAGCAATTACAACTGCGCTATCTGAAGAAGGATCTCAATACAGCAGCTTGAATATGAGACAGAAGTGCTGCACACCTACAAACAATAAACCGCCGACCGCAAAACCTAAACTTTCCCAGCCCTGCAACCTCCAGATCCCGATCCCAGGACCTTGACTTCGATGCCGATGAGCTCGGAGGTTTCCGGGGTCGCTTTCAGGGCGCACAGAAAACACAGAACGCCTGGCAATTAAGGCTCAAGATGTTTGTTTGGTTTCACAAAGAATGTTCACGTCCGGGCAGCACATTTTTTTCTGTTTAAATATGCTTGTGCTTCCATCATCCTTCTTCGGTGCTGTGGCCGCAGGTGACATCACCTGGCGGCCGCCCAGTTCCGACCGCGTTCAGGCGGATTTACCTGCGGGGGAAATGGGGAAGGGGTGGGTGGAGTGGAGTATAAGTTTTTTGAGGAAGCTCTTCAACAAGAGTTCGTTGATGCGCCACAAGGGAGCTCCACCCCCCAAGGCAATACGACAGGTTTACATGTTAGCATGGATTTGGGCAAGGCCCCCCTCAGCCCTTCCACACCACGGACACCTTGTTTTCCATGGATCAGGACTACCTTGTGTACCTGTCGGATGGCCAAAGCCGGTCACAGGCCCCGTCCTAAAGGGCCACGGGTAGTGGGGCTTGTACGTGGGTTGTCAAGAAGGGTTGAAGATTGGTTTCTTGGACTGGCGTATTCAAGAAACCCTTCAGTGTTACTGGTCGCTGTTAGCTCTACAAGCTGGCAAGACAACGCGGCTATCTCAGAACCCTGGCCAGCACATCTGATTTGCCTCCTCCGTAACGTCGCCCACTTCTTGTCGACATGGCAAAGCGCAAAAGAACTCGTGCTATGCGGTGAAACCTCTCGCTGAAGGTAGAGTCTGCCATCCCAGCTGGAACCAACGTCCTGACTGTCCCTGACAACACGCAGCAGCCTGCCTGCCCTCAAAGGGATCAGTAAACGGCTTGAGGTTTCAGAGTCATTTTGCTTCTAAGTGTATATATACCATTGAGGGTTTAGGCGGCATGGGTCTCATGTTGGCTTGCTTCCGGCGTTCAAGCAGTGCACGGCTTTAGACCTTGTAATTAACGGTGACACGAGCCTTCAGAGGTCGAGGTTCGTCGATATGCCGAGGCCCACGAGTCGAGGGTACCTCCTTCCCTGGTTGCGGCCGTTAAAGCATTGTACAGCCCTCAAGGCACTCGAAGCACTTAAACCTGGAGCTGCAAAAAAACACTCTTGCAAAATGTTAATGCGCCCCCTTGACTAAAGAAGCTCCCCTCTTCCTTAAAGGAGAGTAGGGACGGATTTAATGGCGAAACCTACGTTTCATGACTCGCAAAGCCCCCAGCTCAGAGTTTTCCAGGGGCATCGGCTATAGCAGCTTCCTGGTCTTCACCCGCTCGACGCTGGCGGAGCCCCAAGTTTTTGTTTCGAGGGCTCCACGGTGTGGATTTCTGGTTCGACGAAGAAGGTGAGACCGTGAAACCCTGGAGCCCTTGTGAGTTCTGAGATGCGCCTCTTTGCCACTCTATGTCACAGCTCTGTGCGCAAACTCCGCAGCTTTCGAAGGCAGAGCAGACGACCCCAGTGGCGCTGAGCTTCTCTGATTCCGTGGTGTCTCTGGTGCCTTGGACACGAAGCAAAAGAAGACCGGGCACCTCCGAGGCTAGCAGCTGGGCAAAGCTCAGGAAAATCAACAAGCAGGTTTATACCGGAAAGCAGACCATCTGAACACCTGCATCCATAAACAAGCAAAAGTCCGACAAGACCCGACACCTTAAGCCTATAAAGCGAAGCCTGAAAGTCAACAGGGCAACCTCAGCTTCACGGATCTGGACTTGGATGCGACGGACCTCGGCGGCACCCTCGCCTGGGAGGCCCTCTTGCAAGCCCGAATCTGACATCTTGGGCAGAAGGGGTGGGCAGGATGTGTGCAGGGCACTTGAAGGTGCGGAGGGTTTAAAGGGGTCTCACTCAGCGCCAGGCAGAGGGGCGAATGTGTGGTTCGGGCGTGAGGCGATTTCAAGGTTGCGCCAGCTTCGGAAGAGGATCCCAGCATCCCTGAGTCTTTCAAGGCTACCCTCAAGGCTTCACTCCCAAACTCGAACTCCCCAGCTCCGGGCAGGAGCCCTCAGATTCGGCCTATGTGACGCACTACGAGGCTCGAGATGGGTACCCGACGTCTGACTACCACCGGAGCCACAGAACTGAATCCAAACGAAACCCCCACACCTGCTTTGATCCGGTCCTGTATCCTTCCCTGTAGCCTTTATGGAGCACTTGGACTCGGCCCACGACTTTCTGGGGCGTCGGATCTAGCTTTCCATTTCGGAGTGCCCCTCCTGGAGTGTTCGCGCCTTTTTGGCATCACTCCCCGTGTGTCGCTGACCGACATTTGTGCAAGTGTCTGTCCTTGCGAAGTCGTGATAGCAGGTGGGGTCGGAGGATGTCTTCAAGATGTACCTAATCACTACTAAGTTGACACTGCCTTCCTGAACCCCAACTACCCTGTGAAGGTCTACATCGCCAGAGACCTGAGCTCCGAAAGTCCTGCAAGCATCGCGTTGCTGTGCAGCAGTGCGCCACAGGAAGCCACGGGGGGCGGGTGGAACCATATGGCAAAAGACCGGATTTCTCAGGGAATTTGCATGTATAGACTTTCTATTTTCGGGGACCACTTGAGTAATTCATCAAGTCATGCAGGCAGTTCATGAAAGTTTTCAAGAAAGGTGGCGGTCCTTTGTTTGCAAGAAGCGCCCCCCAAAAAGTCTTTGTCAACATTGACCGCCAGGACCTGCGCGCAGTTTTAACTGGGAGCCTGTTGGGGGCTCAGCTTTGTTGCCTTGCTGTTCGTGCAGTCGTTCAGTGAGGGGCGCGGCTTTCCGAAGGCTGTGAACCCTGAGCACAGCTCACTGCCGAACTATCCTGTGCACGACCCGAATTTGCAGCATTTGTGACAAATGCGAAAGGTCGCTGGTTCTGGAGGGTGCTACGCTCGCAGAAGTCTCTGCAGCAGTCAGGCACGAAAGAGTCACAAACGGGCATCCGTCGTAACGATATTATGCCTCTCCAGGGTTTCTTTTCATGCACTGGAGCCTATTGAGCTGATACTGTACGTAAGTCGGTGCAGTGTGCGTATTGGAGTATAGCTGGTCTCAATGCCTACTGGGACCCTGCAACTCCATCCTTCATTTCCGAAGACTGACACATACACATACAAGTCTTGCAACCCTTTGATCAGCACACCCAACTTCACCTCCCCATGCGGTCAGGGCAAGTCTCCTGGTAGCCTTGGGCCTTTCAGCACAAGAGCTGATGATCACCGATGCGGCTTGGCGAAACTTCCCATGCAAGCCCTTAAATTGAGGATTCTCTTGGACAGGTCATGTGTCATTATGATACCCGGATACGTACTGGACGTGAAACCTTGAGGTCTGAGAGCTGGGCACCGCCCCTACAACCCACCATAGCCCACACGACACTACAAGCCCTAGATCTCCAGCTTCAAAGCCGTTACAACACCAAGAATGCCTCCTATGGGTCCTGAATACCGACAAGCGTGTAAACGTCCGACACAGCCCACAAAGGTCACAGAAGGAACCTACCGGCGCTTAGGGAAGATCTCGCAGCATCAGCGCCGTCTGGCCACAGCCTGGACAGCCTTCTGGTAGCAGTGATTTCTTGTGTGTTTGTTTGTCGCTTTTTTGGGCATTTAAGCTTAGAGGCTTCCATATGCGGGTGGGGGGGGGGGGTGGTCGACCTTAGGGTTGAGGGTTGACAAGGGTTTTCGGCAGCGGGTTTGGGGTTTACTGACTAGGTGTCCAGGGCGGTTTTGGGAGGAGTTCAGGTGTCGCGGGGTTCCAGGAAGGCCTTTGTGCTTTTGGTCTCTGTGTGGGTCCCAATCTTCCCGGCTCATGCACGAATTCGGCGTTGCAGTGCGCGAATGGTGGGGTCCGGTCACAGAAGGCCCCACGCCTCATTCCGAACTTTCAATGCCGAGACCCAAAGTTGAGTTGTTGCTACCAGGGCGATATTATCGCCACAATGCCTGCAGACATCCGTAACCCACTTAAAGCTCAAATCTTGTGTCAGGTACAATACCAGGTTGTCACAACCCTCAGCCGCGCGAATGCGCTGAGTCAGGTGCCGCGCAATGCTTCTTTCAGGGCTGCATTGGTTTGTGACTTTCTGAAGGTTGGGATCTTTTCTCGTCATGTGGGCCCCGAAAGTCCCAGACGCTTGCCAAACCGCCCGAATGACTGGGCGCCAAGAGGCGGGAGAAGAGCATCATGAGCATCAGCTGGGTCGTTTTCGAGAGAGGAGCATCATGAGCATCAGCTGGGTCGTCTTCTCGTCACGTGGCCCCCGAAGCTCCAGACGCTTGCCAAACCCACTGCCCGAATGACTGGGCGCCATTCAAGAGGCGGGAGAAGAGCATCATGAGCATCAGCTGGGTCGTTTTCTCGTCACGTGGCCCCCTAAGCTCCAGACGCGTGGCAAAACCCACTGCCCGAATGACTGGGCGCCATTCAAGAGGCGGGAGAAGAGCATCATGAGCATCAGCTGGGTCGTTTTCTCGTCACGTGGCCCCCGAAGCTCCAGACGCTTGCCAAACCCACTGCCCGAATGACTGGGCGCCATTCCAGAGGCGGGAGACGAGCATCATGAGCATCAGCTGGGTCGTTTTCTCGTCACGTGGCCCCCGAAGCTCCAGACGCTTGCCAAACCCCCTGCTCGCTCGAATGACTGGGCGCCATTCAAGAGGCGGGAGAAGAGCATCTTGAACATCAGCTGGGTCGCTTTCTCGTCACGTGGCCCCCGAAGCTCCAGACGCCAATGACTGTGGGCCATTCAAGAGGCGGGAGAAGAGCATCATGAGCATCAGCTGGGTCGTCTTCTCGTCACGTGGCCCCCGAAGCTCCAGACGCTTGCAAAGGCCACTGCTCGAATGACTGGGCGCCATTCAAGAGGCGGGAGACGAGCATCATGATCATCAGCTGGGCCGTTTTCTCGTCATGTGGCCCCCGAAGCTCCAGACGCTTGCTAAACCCACTGCCCGAATGACTGGGCGCCATTCAAGAGGCGGGAGAAGAGCATCATGAGCATCAGCTGGGTCGTTTTCTCGTCACGTGGCCCCCGAAGCTCCAGACGCTTGGCAAAACCCGCTGCCCGAATGACTGGGCGCCATTGAAGAGGCGGGAGAAGAGCATCATGAGCATCAGCTGGGTCGTTTTCTCCTCACGTGGCCCCCGAAGCTCCAGACGCTTGCCAAACCTGCTGCCCGAATGATTGGGCGCCATTGAAAAGGCGGGAGACGAGCATCATGAGCATCAGCTGGGTCGTTTTCTCGTCACGTGGCCCCCGAAGCTCCAGACGCTTGCCAAACCCACTGCCCGAATGACTGGGCGCCATTGAAGAGGCGGGAGAAGAGCATCATGAGCATTTCTCGTCACGTGGCCCCCGAAGCTCCAGACGCTTGGCAAAACCCACTGCCCGAATGACTGGGCGCCATTCAAGAGGCGGGAGACGAGCATCATGAGCATCAGCTGGGTCGTTTTCTCGTCACGTGGCCCCCGAAGCTCCAGACACTTGGCAAAACCCACTGCCCGAATGACTGGGCGCCATTGAAGAGGCGGGAGCGAGCATCATGAGAATCAGCTGGGTCGTTTTCTCGTCACATGGCCCCCGAAGCTCCAGACGCTTGGCAAAACCCACTGCCCGAATGACTGGGCGCCATACAAGAGGCGGGAGACGAGCATCATGAGCATCAGCTGGGTCGTTTTCTCGTCACGTGGCCCCCGAAGCTCCAGACGCTTGGCAAAACCCACTGCCCGAATGACTGGGCGCCATTCAAGAGGCGGGAGACGAGCATCATGAGCATCAGCTGGGTCGTTTTCTCGTCACGTGGCCCCCGAAGCTCCAGACGCTTGGCAAAACCCGCTGCCCGAATGACTGGGCGCCATTGAAGAGGCGGGAGACGAGCATCATGAGCATCAGCTGGGTCGTTTTCTCGTCACGTGCCCCCCGAAGCTCCAGACGCTTGGCAAAACCCACTGCCCGAATGACTGGGCGCCATTCAAGAGGCGGGACACGAGCATCATGAGCATCAGCTGGATCGTTTTCTCGTCACGTGGCCCCCGAAGCTCCAGACGCTTGGCAAAATGCACTGCCCGAATGACTGGGCGCCATTCAAGAGGCGGGAGACGAGCATCATGAGCATCAGCTGGGTCGTTTTCTCGCACGTGGCCCCCGAAGCTCCAGCCACTTGCCAAACCCACTGCCCTCACGAGAAGCAAGCCTGAGCTAGCGACCAACACCATGGCCCCAGGAAAGCCTCAAGAACCCTGCAGGCAGCGACCGATCTCGGCCAGGACCTGCCCCGCTTCCAGGTCCAGAGATGTTTGTTTCGGGAAGTTTGAGGACTCGCTAGATTTGCAGTAGACTGGAAGACTCGAGCGGGGGGTTGCTCTTTAAAGCAGAGGGCTCTTTGTTGTGAGGACTTCTCTACTTTAAAAAACTGGCTCTGATGGGGGGAGCTTATGAGGAACACCCCCCCCAAAGTTGCACCACACAAGAGGCCATTCTTTCCAATGCCCTCACGGCTGCCGGCGTGGACGACAGCTCCCTGGTGCTCCAAAGCTTCAGCGCGGTCACGATGGAGGCCCAATGCCTTGCCATGCTATGATGCGTGTCATGTTTATCGCATGTTATCGTCATAGGCCTAGGGGTCAAATTCTGATCTTGTAGGTCCCAGCATACTGGAGTTGCGCATGGGCTCAGACTTTCGGCTAAGCCTGAAGCCCATGACCCAAAAACTCCTTAAGTACTTTGAAGACCCAGACGTCAAGCCCATGTCTCCCAGGTCCAAGCTCTTTCGGACGACTCCCAAGTCGAGGCTGCAGCCCCGCCACCGCCAACCCAAAAAAGAGCAGGGTGGTGGGATTTTCGGGCCGAGCAGTAGGATTAATTGGGGTCGATTCAGCACAGGGGTGATGGGTGCCTACTGACAGGCAATCTGGCAATTCACACATCGAGCAGCTGCACTAGGCGTTTTGTTATGTTTTGTTGTTCCGCCATTTGTTGATTGAACGAACCTTGCCGTCAGGAGCCGGAAACGTCCGACTCTAACGCCACCGACGCCGGCAATGCTAGTGCACCACGGCATAGACCAAAGTTGCACGGAGAGAACCTGAGGGTTGCGCAAATGTGTGTGTTGAAGCCTCAGACCACTCCCCTCAAATCCGTGTTTCATTGAAGTGGGCTCTTAAGAGTTCTTAGGAGTCCTGAGCTTAAGAGTCCCTGAAACCCGAACCAGGATGATTCGGACGTCCGGCGGTTGCAGGACGGAGGGGAGGGTGGGTGGGCGGGTTGAGTTGGTAGTGACTGGTGCTGCGGATAAGGGCTCCGTGTGTTCATCTCCATAATTAGGATGCCCTGAAACCGCGGTGCGGATGCAAGCGGTGCGCAGGGGGAGAACTCAGACGCCCAGAACGAGTCGAATGAGACCAGCACGACGACAATGACAAGCACCGTGACCACAACTGCCACGAGCACAGTCACGACAAGCAGCACCAGGACCCGCTTCTGCTTGAAAGCTCCTAAGGCTCGTGGGGCTGGTTGTAAAGTCTTGGAAAGTTCCTGATCGGATTTCGAGGTGGACTTGAAGCCCCGAGTCTCAGCTTCACGGCGCTTCTGCGCAGGACCATGACAACCACTTCCGCAACCACGACGTCAACGACGATTACCAATGCAACGTACGGGGTTGGCAACATGAAGCTCTGCCAAAGAATCCCATGGCTGTCAGATTGACACAGACTCCCACCGAGGGACAGGGAGAGGGGCTGACCATTTCACCGCCTAACCATCTAACCTTGTCAAGCAGGCCAAGAGCCCAAACCTGAAAGAAGAGGAAGAAGAAGAAGAAGAAGTGCCCCATGCCCCTTCAAAGAAAGACCGAGGGTGACTTTGGGTGAAGATGCAAGGACGCGATGTGGCAACGGCTTCTACATGACCTACCTGGGGACATCCATGATGGGACAGCCATATTTCCAGGCGCAGTCCTCAACCCTATCCGTGCCGCAGCGTTGCTAAGCTGCTAACCCTCCTCCCCGGTCGGGATTCGATGAAGTGGGGTCTGAACTTGGGCTTCCAACAGAACTCCCCTAAGTCAAAGACTTGTGGTGGAAATGCGTCAGGCGCGTCCATGACAGAAAAGTGGGCGGACTTTGTTGAACCACGAGCTGCTGAGCAACAGCTGCCCAAAACCTGGCGGCCTCTCCGAACCCCCAAATGAGCCCCTCAAAATGAGCCCCTAACGTCACCTTGAGCTTCCGGAAGAGGTGGAGCCAGACTTGCCCCTGGCCACCTGGAGCCACTTCCTTGTCTTCGCTGCGTCAGATTTCGGTGAGGCCTCCACTCCCACCACTCATTTGAGCCTTGGCTTAGAAGGCAGTTGAATTGTGAGGTTCCGGGTTTTGGATTCAGTGCTGAATCGAGCAGAGTAGGCTTTGTTGAGTTTAGATGAGTTTAGTTGATCTGTGCCGCCTGTGGATGACAATGCCCATGAGGTCAAAAGCGCCAGTGGCCATACGGTCTGTAGGCCCTGTAGGCTCTTCTTGGGGAAGCTCCAGGCCCAAGTTGAAGCACCATAAGGATCTACGACATGTCTGCCAGCGTCTCGGATGTGGCCTATGACGGGCTGGACCTGGATCCCGGGCCACTGTTTAACAAACCTTTGAATTTGCTTGTTGGGACATCCCTTCGACCACCCACCCCCTGCAAGCTTCATCAGTTGTTTATCATGCACGCCCAAAGTCCAGAACCCTTCGAACCGCAACCCAGGATCTGGACCAACTTGGCGGCAATGTGACCTGGAGCCCGCCCAACCTGACAGAGAGCGCCGGGAGCACCCAGAGGGTCAAGTGAAAGGCTTAGAAGGATCAAGGCCAAGAGGATCTCTAGATTTTAAAGTGGCCATCTAGGGGCTCTCCGAGATGCCAGCGCCCGCTGCTCGCCATTGCTGCTCTCCGACCTCTTGCATTCCATATTCTGTTTCTGCGAAAGTCTAGTGCCGATGATGACACACGCATACTCGGCACAGGTCTTCTTGGTATCTTGACAGAATCTTTTCGCAGCATGCGCCTGAAGCCTTTACCAAGCGTTCGCTGAGGTCCGTGGCTATATGGTCTACTTGGCTGAGAGTTCCTTCGGTCTCAGCCGGGCCTGGATTCCACCGGAGGTGCCAGTTGGGAGCCACCTGGCCGGAGATTCGGAGCGTGGTGGAAGGATGTCGTGGAATTGTGTTTTCGTAGCTCTTTGTATCGTTCTGGTTGTTTGCGAGTGGTTGTTGAGGCAACTTCCTGCTGATTCCGCCTGACACGGAGAGAGAGAACTACTCACACATCGTGGTCTACACCAAGTCCGTCGCAGCCCAAGCATCGGCTACTGTATGAGTCAAGATATCAGGTTTCGTGAGTGGCAACATCCCTAACCCCCCCCACTCTCACCCCCATAACAGCCACAAAGAAGCCTCATCCTGGAACCTTTCCCCCCAGGAGCTGATCGAACAGACCACGCCAGCCTTCCTGGCATTTGCGGATCCCTGGCCAAGCCTTCCAAGCTTCCCAAACTTTTGAGCTCCAAGAAAAGCCTCCTGCACCACTGGTCACCACATAGATTCTCAATCATGTTCTTCAGTACTGCCGACTGCAGAATGCACTGGGCGCGGTGTGTTCGGAGTTGTGAGGCCTTTGGTTTCGGGTTTGGTTCAATTGCAAGTCGCACATGTTGCACGATCGTTTTGGGACTCCCAGCGCCACTTCGAGCTGTTAGGATACAGCAGAGAGCGCGGCGAATGCCAGCTTCGTGGATGAGGACCCCGGGATGTGCGGAGGTACAATTCGGGTACTCCGATGGGCCTTTACTGCGCAGGGCGAAAGCCCGAAACTCTGAACACTAATCCCTGAAAACAACAGTAATTATCAAGGCGGGGGACTGGATTGCCTGAACCAAAGAGTGCCTTCACACGCGTGCCCCATAACGTGCTTGCTGTCCTTGTAGATTGCCGCTTGTGCTTGTGGCCGGCATGTGTTTGCAACTTGTGGTGCTCTTAACAGAGTTGTGTTGATTGTGCTGCCAGATAGTAATCTGGTCTGCGGGATACAGGCCCTTTGTAGGAATGAGCTGTTCGTTGCAGCTTCAGTCCCGTGCAAATGGCGAAGCCGGGCGCAAGGCGCTTTGAGGCATAAAGGAGGGATGCTTCGAGATCTTGTCTTGAAAAGACACGAAAACTTCCCGCAACAGTTCTGGGAACCACCAGAAGCAAAAAGAGTCGCCAAAGTGCCCCATAAGAGCAGTTGTTTTCCAGGATCTGGACCTCGGGCAGATTGGCGGCAAGCTGGTCTGGGATCCCCCAGCGGACTTAAGCAGCCTGCCCGAGATTTGATACAGAAAAGCTTTGTGCTTATTGTCCGTATACATTGTACGTGCAACAGAATGCAAAGTACTCGAGCTGAATATAACATAAACAAAGATAATACAATACAATGCATTCTGAAGTTCATACTGCAGGCTGACTTTATACGATACTTCTTTATCGTACTACTATCAAGAACAATTCAACAATAGTTTTCACGTGTATAGAATATGAATATAGCTGGGCATATTCTGCACCACGGTTGCCGCTACAAATCCGATGCGTCGCAGACGCGGGAAGTGGCTATGCAAGCCCTTTAGAGCAGCAACCCTCTTGCCAAGCTCTATTCAGCGTCACGATTCCAGAAGACAAGGTCGCATCACCGACTTCCTGATATACGTGGCGCTCGACGCGATGGGAACCAACCGCTCGCTGGTCGGTTCCGCCTCTGCCGGCATCAGTGAAATCTCAGTGCCCTTGGACACCGACATTCCCAGCAATTCCTACTTGGTGGTGTACGCGGCTTGTTTAGATATGGGGGGGTGAGGGGGGGGCCTATAAGGAGGGTAGCGCTGCAGAACTTATGAATTGCTTTGATCTATGCAGTTTACGGGTTTTGGGTGTGGGCGCCGACATGCCGACATGCGAATATCACTATGAAAGTTGACCTGCCTCTCAAGAAAACTAAGCTGGTCTGACCCCAGGAAGCCTTCTGCAACGGTGAGCCTGAATGTAGAGAAACCTGCTGGAACGGGTTTAGGATTCAAACAGAAAATGGACATGAGCATCTCGACTGCAGCATTAAGGCACGGAGCCAGCTGCAGGAGCTGCTCGGACTTCATATCGGGCTTCATAAGATTTCCTACACTGCTAGACAGTTGTAGGCTCAAAAATCCATTATGTTTTTTGCTTTCAGACCATGCATCTCGCCGCACTTGGTCAAGTTCACCGGGACTCTGAACGCGAAACACCTCAAGCCTCAGATCCTCACGTAAGTCCGAAGCCCTTAGAACGCGAAGCGAGCATGAAGCCCACTCCCTACATTATCAGGCAAACTACGCCTGTGTCCACACCGATTTTCGATCGATCGGCGAGCGTGTCTGAGGCAGTGGCCAGAGAGACGATTTTGGGGCGGTTGAGAGAGCTTGATGGTATTGAGGATTACTGGTGTAGCCTCGCGTGAGGGTGATTGTCCTCCGAGTCCCCAACCTCAAGACATTAAAACCCGTCCAAGTGCAGGTGACATTCGTGGACTATGACCTCGACAATGGTGAGATCGGTGGAAATGCTTCGAGTCCTTGACATGAGTGGTATGTTAAACCAAAGCCTGTTCAGGGCCATGAAAGGTTCCATCCTTGAATTAGAAATCCCCTTGAGCAGCAATGCACTTGCGATGCACTGACGCTTCCCTGAGTTCGAAGGCAGGAGCAGGGAGTGGTAGGGGTCGAAGCGGAATGTGGAATTTGAGGCAGTGTTCATTTTACCGATTGCAGAAATCTTTCGGAAGCGCAATCGGGCATTCTCCGAAAAGCTGGTTCTCTGCCCATTTTGAACCCTCTCTAAGTTTCAACTCTTCCATGGAGTTGTTCATATTCATTTGGCATGCTGTAAGCTGCTTAGGTAAGTAAGCGCTCAAACATGTTCAAACCTATGAGCTGAGGGTTCAGGACTTGAGGCTTGTGGTCCTCAGCACGCTGCCATTGCTCGCTGTGGCTTGCTCATCTCATTTGGTGCATCGGCAAAGCCCAAAAAGCACTGGTTCCCAAATCCCACATCCACTCCAGATTTGCGATGCAACGTGAATCCCTACGCCTATCCAAAGCAAAACAACACATTTGACAAGGCCTAGAGCTGTATGCAAAAACCCTCTCAAAGCCCCAAAATCCCCACAGCCTGCAGCCTCATTGGGTCACAAACCCTCAGAAACCTTGAGCCGCAAAACCGACCACACACCCCACCAAAACTGCAGAGGTTTCCTGGACGCCGCCAAACAGCACCGACTACGTGGAGGAGTCTCTTAAAGCAAAAAGAGCCCAAGGAGCCCAAGACCCAAACATCCCCCCAAACCCACGAGGACGAGACATCCCAGCCAAATTCGTGGGGCTGTGAGGATGGATGGGGCTTTGCAACGGTGGGGGGGGTTACGATGTGGTGTTGGGGAGTTCTTGACCTCGGATTTTGCAGGAGATCATCCCCTCACACTCATGCAGGTATACAAGGCCTACCTGGCAGCGGACGATGTCGGGACCGGCAAGTCCCAGATTGGCGATGATTTGCCGATTGACGTCAGCGAGGTGCTTCTACCTACGGCTTCTTGCTGGCAGTACTTGCTGGGGTTTTGTCAGACATCCAAGGCGCGGATGCTTCCTTCGAGCTGTTTAGACTTGCTTCAATGTTCACTCGAGGAAACGCCCCTGAGCGACTTTACGCACGTGACCGTGTACACAAAGTCTGCTTTGGGCGAACAGTGCCTCGGCCTGCCAGAAAGAGTGACGGGAGGCCTGTGAATTGGGCCGGCTTTCCGGCATGTTACCTAGCTTGAGGAGAGACTGTACCTATCCGACCTATCCGAGACCCTACCAACCATAACCGCTTCCTCGAAGCTTCAGGACCACGCCGGTGTCGGCGGCTCTGTCTGACACATCCTTCTTCGTGGTTCAGGAGATTGATGATATATGGGTGCTGTTACTGGCCACAGCAAGTTTCCTTGGGTTGCCGAAAAATATGCTCGCACCTGGTAATCTAACTTATCATGCTTCGGTTCTTTTCTTTGGCTCCTTCTTCTGAAGAAAGTAGAAGCAACCAAAGCATGAGGCCCATACCTAGCCGAAACCACGGCCCCAACCCCAATTAATTCCGTCAAACCCGAAGCCCGATCCCTCAAATTGCAGGAGTCTTTTGTGGACTTAGACCTGGACCTAGCGGACGTCGGAGGGGTCCTCGCTTGGGCTGAAGCCCTAGACGATGCACAGGCCCGTTGGCAAGTTTGAGGGAGAGGGGCATTGAAGGAAGGCAACCCGAACCACACATGTGAAATACTTGAGGATGGCCGACGCAAGGTAAGGAGGTGCCATGACGGTTCTTCGAAGGGTCTGGCTTCATAACGTCCGGAGACTTGCCCCATGTTGGATGCGGCTTTGCTAATTTGATGGTTGTGGCCTTTGAGTTCCGGCTTTCCGACAGGTGGCTTATTACAACATTTACCTGGGCACCGATTGCATCGAGAATGTGACGCTGCTCGTTGAGAAGCAAGTCGCACCAGCACAGAAGACGAACATGGGCGATTGCCAAGACAGAAGAAGAGAAGTGACCTGCGGCTAGGCTTTCGGTTTCTTCGCACTTTGTACTGGTAATTCAATTAACAAGCAGTGACTCCTTTGCAAACTTTGCAAGGACGATGTCAGAGGTTGAAGTCCTGGCAGTCGTTGCCTTACTTGCTTGGGTGGACCCATGATGGTGTGGTGCGAATATGGCTTGTTTGTTGCTCACTGTTGACCTGTACTTCTACTTGCAACAACATGGTGTAGCGGTCTCGAGGTCATCAGCGGTATCGTCTCGATCAGCCTCGATGGTGCAACGTCACAGCAGGCTCGACTGGTCTTTCGCGCAGAAGTGGCAGGACAGCAGTTGCCAGATCCACTGTCTCCATGACCTTGTTGGGTTTTTGGGAACAATCGAATCACCGTTGTGGAGCTGTGTGCTGTGCCGTTGAGTCGAATCAGACAACATGCATCGCACGAAGAGCAAAGTAGTTGAAGAACCATGAACTCCTGACCAGCCGCAGTTCTGAGAACACCTCCTTGTGGCCCGTGTACTGCCAGAATGTTCATTGGACCTCAACCATTCCAAGAAGGCATCCCCCAGCCCTAAGAGGCGAAATAACCCGCTAAAAGCCGCTAAGCCCTACGGAAGCTTTAGACCCCGAAATATTTGAGACCACACCTGAACCCTGGCCAGGTTGCGGCTGCGATGCGAGCTGCTCTGGCCCAGACCTTTGCCGCAGCTTGGCCTGGTGGAGATGGGTGTATCAGGAAAAAGAGGGAATAGAGTTGTGGACGTTTGGATAGAAGCTTGATAGGCCTAAGCCGCATGGTGAGCTTCGGTTTGTTCGAGTTTAGGCGCCTCGGTTTCAGAAAACGGCGCACGGTTCCGATCTCCAAAGCCCAATAGCCCACTTGCGTGAGACACATGAAAAATCTCCATTGGCTCCAGAAGCAACGGGCCATGGAGCCATGAAGTAAACCCTCCAAACCCTAAACTCGCAAGTCCAAATCTGACACCCCGAATTTAAGCCCCATGTATACCCAGGTACCTGCCTCGGCGCTGTACGTTACAGTCCGTCAGGCCAGCACATGCAGCCCCGGAGTATCATATTCTTGCGCCGGGAAGTATGAGGAGGTGACGGTCGTTTGTGACAGGCTTTTGGTGGTTGTCACGCAGTGATACTTATCAAGGTCTTCTAGTATTTCTTGGAATGAATTGGCAATGATTTGGGGGTGTTTTTCGGGTTCAGATGTCTGAACCATGACCCCACCAGCAGTGTTCAGATTACCTTTCCAGTTCCCCCATGAATGCTATAGTCAAGGGCATCCCAAACTGGGCCTCTGATTCCTAGACTCTGATACTCCATGGCCTGAAGCCCCAAACCCCTCACGCGCAGAAAAGCAGGGTGGCACTGGCCGGCGCTTGGCCACACTCTGGGAAGTCTCCTACGTCATCGTGGTCCCCAATGACCAGGCCTTGGACCTCTCCTCATCTCCTCCCTTCTGTTGCAGGATTAGATATGTGTATGGGTTTGATATGTTTCTTTTGGGGAGCCTCGTCTGGCGCAGGCTCCATCCTTGGTGGCTACAGCAACGGCCGTGGCGTCCAACAGTGCTTCCTTCAGGCCTGGAACGTTGAGTGTTTTTTTTGGGCGGCGGTTCCCTTCCGGATTTGTCGAATTTGGGGGGGCCCCAACCCTAAGCGGGATCCTCTGAAAGGCAACAAAGAGACCCTTAAGATCCCGCATACACCCCATCCCCTCTTTCAGAACGGCCGTGGCCGTCGAGTTGGTGGCTTCTGGCGTGGACAGTGCGGTGGTAGCTACCTCCTTGGCACCTAGGTTTCGAAAAGGTGTCGGGTGTTTATAGGGTGATGCTTCAAGGCTTAGGGGTCTTCAGTTGGATCTCGGTTTGCCCCGAGATTAATATGGGGGCCTTTCTTGGGGTTCCAATTGGTGCAATTGGGTTGTTCAACGTTTGCAGTAGGGCCCGTTTGGGGACCTCTTGTTGATGTTGAAAGGGCTCAGTGTTCTGAAGACCTTCGGAGGCTTGCAGTGCAGTGCTTAGGTGGTGGTCAATTTCGCAACTGTCTCGGTGCAGCTGATCACCGCAGACAAGCTGCCATCCGTGCTCCCAAGCAGTCCCACCTTCGCGTTCAACGTTACAGAGAGTGAGGAGAATGAGACGGATGTGACGCGAACCACCACGACCACGCCCGAAGACACTTGGCTCTTGTAGCGGTACGAATGATGAGTCAAATGACCATCCTGTGCATCTCCATGGTTCAAATCATGGTGGGTTCAGGGTTTAGGGTTTCAAGCTCTGTTGAGGATTTGGGTGCAGGGTTTTAGGGCTCAAGGGGTAGGATATCATAGGGGGTGCGAAACGCGAACAGCGAAAGCAAAAATGGTATCCTGCACCCGACGCGAGAGTGGCATCTTCTCAGCCCCGATGGTATCCGTGTTTCGATCCAGGAAGATGACGCGGAGGATTCGGATGTCACATGCCAGCATTCAGAAGGTGGATGGAACGAGCCCTCGTGGCAGCTACTCTTAAGTTGAGCCTGTTGCCCTGGTGCGAGACTAAGGCCGGCAATGCAACTTCAACCAAGACACGGACAACGACCAGAACTGTGACGCGGACGGCAACCACCTCCTCGACCTCAACAGCTTTCCAGACCTCAACAACAATGACCACTACCGAGGTGCCATGCCTCAGACGTATAAAGTTTGGATCTGGACTGCTTTGGGATGTTTCGGGTATAAAGTGCATAAAGGCAGTGGGGAGGCTATTGGCGTGGTATGGTTCTTCTTTTCTTGGGTTCTGTCGGGTTCGGGATCGCTCTCAGCTCTGAAGTCACCTGCCGTGGTATGCCTGAGCAAGAGAAATGACATGTTTTTGGATACCTAAAGGTCAATCCCTCCCTCTCTGCATTCAAAGAATGGTGGCAGGCGAAGCCTGATCAGTTGTGGCCACCAATCGCCGCAACTTGAAAATCTTGTACTCAAATTCGAATTGCACGCAGCTTCAGACTCCCAAAAGCCTCCCTGAAATCAGACCTTCGCAGATGACGCGGATGCCACCTGGCTGCAGAACATGGCAAGGCCCCACCCTAGGCAGGCAAAAGCCCTTTTGGGCGGCCTCTGGAGGTGCTCCGCGCCTTGTTCGTCCTTACTCGAAACCCTACACCATCCTACACCCTTTCCCCCAAGCGGAAACCTTGCATCAGTTTGGTGTAGGGCCAGGTGGTTAGTGATTCAGGATCTGTTTCGGAGGGCATCGGCCTGTTCAGGCCCAGTCCCATGTCAAGCTGCACCCCTCAGCTCCCAGGTCAATGAGACTTTGCTGGGTGAGGATGCAGATGCTCCAGATGCTCCTGAAATGCACCAAGCTGATGCTGTTTCAATCGAAGTCCCCCTGGTCTCACTAGACCATGAACACAAGCGCTCAACAAGCCCCAATCGTCAAGAGCCGAGCTCCAAAACCAATCCCATACATCGTCACATGTCCAGATCTCTCATAGAATAGGCATCGCGGTGCTTGTGGTAGTGATGAGCACCCTAGCCCCCTAGCCCCCAGGCCTCCAACCCCAAATTGGAGACCTCCGCAACTGACAGATCCCAAACATTCAATTAGCCCTTAAACCCTAAATTTGCCCTAAATAGATACCTGCTTCGAGTTCCCATCTTCTCTGGCCATCTCTTCCCCACTTCAGGTGCCGGTGAGGCGGCTAAGCTCCATCGCCTCCAACGTTACGGAGGCGCTTAGCGGGGCTCCCCCATCTTTTGCCAAAGAGGCTCCCGCATCCCGTCAGTATCCCGTCCTTTTGTGTTAAGACTGTTAAGAACCATCTGAAGCCTACTGCGACGGCAGATGCAAGCACTCTCACAGACTCTCACCCTCAAACCTTAAATCCTGAGCTCTGCAGCATATGCTTCAATGTACTGCATAGCCGCATAGCGTTCTCCCCTTCTCGCGGAGTGTTTAGGCTGCGAGTCGGTGCCCGAGCCGAGAGTTCGGGTTTTGAGAAGCGCTTGCGGATCCTGACTTTTCCCTCATCGCAGAGGGCGCTTGTGATGTGCTTGGCGAAGGCCCAAACCTTGTTTTTACTTGATCAAGTCTTCCCTGCACTGTGAGGCATCCGACAGCCCAGCCCTCGTCGCGCCGCAGAACTTCACAAGAACTCGCCTGATATTCTGTGCGCAGAGGTGCGGGTGGGCCACAACATTGGGCTTGTTCACGCTACCTCTCTTCAAACCTGCTGAGCTGAGAACCCAAAACACCGCGAGGCTCCAAACTCTACTTGTGTTGGCAGTCGCAATCCGTGGTCTCGGGGTGTGCCTACTTGTGTTGCCTGAGCAAAGACCTAACCCTTGACTCAAGGGGTTCAGGTTTTCAGGTCGACAGTTGGCCGAAATGAGGGCAGCTGAGACTCCCAATCAGACCTACACTCTTATAGTTGTAAGTTGTTGCTTCAGAAAAATTCTTTGCATGTGACGAAGGCTCTGTGCCTGATTTACATGTTACATGTCTCAAATAATGCTCAATTCGACTCCAATCTGTCCTTCTGACAGGGAGTTCCTCGGACAAGTACCTGTGCAAACCACCGACTTTGACGTACCGGATCCTTGGCAGAGCTGTTCTGCGGTTGAGGTTTGACCACTCCGGCTTTCTGATTGCCTCCGTGATCGAAGAATTGCCCTTGGCTGTACCTGAGGCAGAGACGCAGCTGGGAAATGCCACACACTTGCTCATTTACGTGGCTTGGCATGGCTGTTCTGAAAGGTAGGAATCCCTGGGACAACCCTTTACGCTTGCATTCTATTCGACTTCTGCCATGTCTGAAAAGTACAAAAAAGAGGCAATCAAGTATACAAATATAAATATGTAGAGATGCAGATGTATGCATATACATATACATATACATATATGTATATGTACATACATATAGATATATTGTCGATGATTATGGCAGCAAGAATTTCTGGCATGTGGGAATGAGTGCTTAGAGCAGTCAGCCTTGTAGGCCGCAGGGAGTCTTCCTCTGCCCTGCCGTGTAAAGACGTCCCCGCGCAAATCCCGGCTTTGCAAAGAGAAGCACCCGCTGTGTTTTTGTTGCGGCTTTTTTGGGGCCAAGGCCGCATCTGCTTACGCCGAGTCGAGCATCGCATCGGGCGGCATTCGAGTGGAGGATGTGGAGGCATCCTGGCCCTACCCAAGTCGACCCGTGAAATTGGAACTTTTCAGCTTTTCAGCTTCTTTCCATGGATGGGCCAGCTTCGCCGACTCTCCCAGCTGCTGAGGGAAGCGAGCTGCAGCGACCCTCAGAATCCAAGGCCAGTGCTGTCAACGTCTCCTTCGTAGACCAGGAGCTCAGACGGGATGTACCCTGCAACAGTAATCAAGTGTGTGTTTTGCGTAGCTCCTTCTTTTGCCATGCGCACTGGAAACCCAAGATGGACTGCTAGCAGCAGTTTGCCAGTTTAGAGCTTCGCTTTACTTTTCGACTTCCCCAAGTGTTGCAGTCGGGCGTATGGGGTACTCAGATGGGGTCATACAGCCTCAAAACGAACTCTCGACCCCAACATCATCGCAAATAGTTGCTTGCAAGGATCTGGATGTTGGCGAACTTGGGGGATATGTTCGCTGGGGGCTCCGACCCCAGATCTGCACAGATCTGCACACCTGGCAAGAACAAACTGTGTCCCGACCTTGGCAGTAGAACACCAAGTGCCTTCAGTCCTCCCAGAATTCCCTGCCGCAGTGCCCCACAAAAACCTCCTCAGAAATGAAAGCTCCAGAGACCCCAAGGATCCCACATATCCCTTCTAATCTTCAGGCTGGAGGAGAGCCTCGGCGCTTCAAGAGTAGCTCGGACAAAGGAGAGGCTCAGGGGGTTCGAGCTGTGGCGTTCAGCGTGCAGCAATCTTTGCGGTGGGGTGAGGGCCTCGGTGAGGGGTTTTCTGGGCCTCGGCTGCTGAAGACTCATCAGTCAAGTCGACGGTGTCTTCTTCATTCTCTGGCTGTACGTGTGTGTGTGTGTGCGTATATGTATGTTTATAGCGGCGATTGTTGCCAGCTTATGGACATGGAGCTTTATGGGCACGGCGTGATCCACAAGATACGTGTGAAGTGACAAGCTCCACCTTTTGCGAAGTGAAGTCTATCCACTGAGATGCCCGGAGGCTCCGGAGGTCGGAGACTCCGACTCTGATTTCCCAAAGCCCAGTTTCCAAAACTCCGCAATCAAAGCGTCCGACCTCCCCAGTCAGAGAGCAATCGGCATCCTCAGGTTGAGAGCTTTTCCTTCTACCTCACCGACGTGGAGCCGGCGCGCGGGGCGAGTCGCTTCCTCCTAGGCAAGGCTGTCAAACTCTGCGTTTCTGGCGGCTGTTGGGGTTTAAGACCTGTGTGAGGGACAGCATGGAGCGCCTTTTGGTTGCTCCATGGGCATATGAGCTAAGGTTCTTATGTCGGCTTTATCAGGGTGTGGAGGTTTGGCGAACCAAGCAGCTTGCTCTGTATCGACTCTACCGTGCACGTGCGGCGAATCTTACCCTGGCATTGGCGGGGTTTGCACGTGTCATGCTATTCTCTTGAAGCTTCAACCCGACAACCACAAAGCCTGAACCATGTGCAATTCCCAAGCTCCACGATGGAATGGAGGCAGTGGCATTCCCAACAGCAGCACAGTACTGGAGTTGCCGGGTGTCGCGGGCTCAGAGATAGCCGAGCTGCCGGCAACTACCAGCAAACGAGCGTGGGAAGGCTTCAAGGTCTGTTTGAGACTTAGGTTCGTTCAGTCGTTCTTGCGGCCATACCGTGCGCCAGTAGAATCTGCCTGAAGCACATGAACTCCTATTGAGTCTCTAGTGACTCTGGTAGCAAGGGAGGCTGCCGGAGCTAGGTCCGTTTCTCGAAACTTCCAGCCCAGGAGACAGCCCTCCAGACCTTCGCTTTCTTGTCGGTCCTTGGCCCTGGTTCAGATGGGGGCTTGGGTTGAAGTCCTCCCTGAAGCGTGAGGGTTTGGCATTGGCAGGGTTCAAGCAAAGTCCGGACACGTCCCGACCGGCCTTTCAATTTTCAACGCAAAGCTTCAGAATGTGCGTGGTTGAGTTTGCTTCAAGGTCTATACGAAGTCAGCGCTCGTGGAGCAGACAACTCCCACTTCCATTTCACTGTCGGATGCAGACGCTTCCGTGTTGGGGGCTCAGTGTGAGGGGCATTTGGCCTTTTCACGTCCACGTGGCGTTGTAGCTCAAGTCAAGAAAGCCGGAGGCTCGTCAGGATGTCTGGCTTGGCTCTTGGATATATGAATCGGGCGGACCGCTGAGGTCGGCGGTGGATTTTCCCGACTTTGATCTGGACTTCATTCAGATTGGAGGCAGGTACCGCTGTGTTCTCCAATGTACCAACATCACCCGGAAGCTAAATGTTCGTGATAGCGTCCAAGAGCCCAAGACCCTCCCAAGCCGGCAGAAAATTCGTCCGAGCTTGAACGCAGAAAGCTGCTGCGATGTTGCGTGCCTCTTGGTTTTTGTAAGCTTCTGCAGCAGCTTCAATTAGGGCACCTCCAGGTGTGCTTTCGTGGGACGAGCCCGCAGACATCTCCCAGGTGATACGGTATGACTCTCGGCCGCCCAGAAGCCGGAAGAGGGGGGCAGGAGATGAGCTTGGGGGTTTTGAAGCGGGGAAATTTTGAAGCACTCCTTTGCACCTGGTCTCCTACTCTGAGAGAGTGCTGAGGACATCTACTGGGCCTCCGGCCTCTCTGGCCTCACGAACTCCTCCGGATTCGTTTGCACCGCAGAATCAGATGGCACGGCTTCTCGGCAGCAGCAACCAGCTCATGTATGAGAACTGCAAACCAAGCACAAGTGCTGTGGATTACAGTCTGCTTGAGAAACTGCCTACCAACTACAGAGCGCCATTCCAAGATCATGGTCAATGCCAGCAATGGTGAAGACAGTGATGGTGGTTTCGGCCCCTTCCTGCCGTGCCGGGGGTCCTTGTATGCAGAGGCGCCTCTTCGGGTGCAGCATGAGGGAGCACATCACCGCTTCGGCGAGTATAAGAGCATGGAGAAGTATAAGGGCTGTTACTCAGAGCTACAGCAGCGGGGATGCTCTGTCGCAGGTCGCCACCGGAGTGCAGAACCTCACGGTGCCACCGGACACCGACCGTGGAAACTATACGCACTTTCTCATCTACACCAGATCAAGACGCTTTGCTGCAATCAATTGCGCAGATCCTCTCGGTACCGGGCAAGTACACGTATAGTGCTTCTTTAATCTGCCGGTATTCTTGCCACCTGCAACTGACAAGGCTTTACGGAGCAATCCAATCCTGCAGCACTGGCCATCTTCGATGCGAATGCCAGCGTCTCCAACTTGGAATTTGACGGTTTCTCGGGTCGCATAGTATGCTGCACCGATGGTTTAAGTGTTGAAATGGGGGAGAGTCATTGACCATCACGTTACATTGATGATTAAATTAAATCCAAGGCAAAGACTTGGACCTTCACGATCTGGGTGGTGCTCCTTGGCACGCTAGTCACTAGAAGAGCTCGGCCCAGCCAGGTTGTTTTTTCTTTGGGCCCACACGCACCACAATTGTAGGCTGGGCTTAACAGGCGCCTGCAGCAATAAACTGCTTTGCGCGGCAGTTCCCCGAGACAGCTTTATCGGACAATTCAATTCGGACGGTATGTTATTTGGCTTTACTTTGCTAATCGTAAAACCCTTCAACAAGTCAATGTAACCCTGAGAACTCCCAAGCCCTAAGGGGCCCAGCCCCAACCGCCTCATTCACAAGGAGCTCATGTGGGATCCTCCAGAGGACATTAGCCGAGTGGAGGCCAAGCCGACAAGACCCGCTTTGGTAGAGCTTGGTTGAGGGCTTAAGTTCGGAGCTTCGGGAGGTCCATAGGTCCACAGACGTGCGTTGAGTCGTCGCGGGCATACTGTACTAGTACTTTGTTCCTGATGGCCGCCTTTTTTGAGGTTTTAATTCAAGAGCCGGCGTTCTAAGAGTGTTGTTCTTTGAGCTCATGCAAGCTTAGGCATTCTTACTTGGTTGTGCTGATATCTAGTACTTTATAGTTCTTGTCCTCGAAGTGCCTGGAAGTTGTCCTTTGTGTCCCTTTGCTCCAGGCCTACGCCGCCTACCTGGCTATGGATGCCAGTGGGGAGATCCTTGGTGAAATGGTTACCAAACAGATCTGACAAGGAATATCCGGAATGCATCTTTGATCAGCTTGTCTTTTACAGCTAACTTGAGAACGAAGTAGCACATGGGTTGTAGCCTGTGGGCCCTTCGGATACTCAAGGAACCGATCACAGATCGGCCCGGATATTCCTGTCGGCGTCTGGGCTGCAAAATCTGGCAACACGGGGCGGGGATGCAAATATGCAGGGACGGCGTATTTTGAAAGGAGTTCTTAAGATCGGGACCCAAGTGAGGGTCCAGGAGTGTCATGCTACTTGCGGCTCGGTCAGGTTCGAACAGTCTCAGCATTTTCCCGGAGACGCCGCGACTGCTACTTGACGGCAGGCAAAGCAAGATTGCGCCCGAGAGCTTCACGGTCCCCAAATCCCAAACTTCCAGCTTCTGCACGTTAAGAAGTTTTGGTTGAAGCCGCGCGTTGCCCTGACCTGAAGCCCGAAGGTTCTACTCACACTTTGCCACAGCCCCAGCTGTCCGGATCGGGAATCCGGGCTTGCAACGCTTCATGGGGAAACCACTTCGTTGAGAATGCAACTAAGAGACCATGCAGCAACAGTGGATCATAATGAATTGTTTTAAGGAGATCCTGCAGAGTTTATGCATTTTGAGCTTCTGAAACTTTCCATCGACTCAGAGGTGGTGTACACGAAGTCCATCTTGGTGGAGCAGACGACGCCCTCAGATTTGCTCATTCAGGACACACGAACCGACATGGCTCATCCGGCAGTGAGCATACGCGGGATTTCCGCCAAAGAATTGCAAGACAACGGAGGTCTTGACTGGAGAAATTCCCAATTCAAACTCTACTGAGTTTCCCAAGCTTGGTTTGGGCCCATTGTTTAAAACAGGACGCAGCGGCTCGCTCCAGCAACGTGAGCTTCACTGATCAAGACCTGGATGTGGGCGAGGCGGGATTCTGAGCAGGGGGACACTGTATGTGTCACTTTAGTCTGACCACAAGTTGGCATATCATGGCATATCTCATGTCAGATGCGAGCGGAGGTTCAAAGACCACTATAGCTAGCCCAGGCATTTGCCGGCAATTTTTTGCGACCCGGGTTCAGGTTTGAAGGTTCAGGGTGCACGCGCGACAGTTGCTGCAGACGCTGACGGCGATTCATCTTGCCAGTATTATTCAGAATACAACTCTACGCAGACTACACCCGAAGTCGGAGCTCTGACTCATGAAACTCTCAATCGGCCGTCGCAAACTTGGAAGGTGGGCGGAAACCTCACCTGGCAGGAACCCCCAGACGTTTCAGCGCCGGTCTCAGAGCAGACCCTTATAGGACCCTTCTCCTGGGCCAGAAGACCCGGATGGCACACGCCTGGGGACTTTGGGCCAGTGAGGGTTCAGAATTCTGGGTCTCTCTGGTGACATGCCCTTCAGTTGCCAGAATCTAGCCTCACGCAGGTCTGGTCTTGATGCACCTGATAGTGCCCATTTTGTCACTTTCCAGATGGGCACTTCTTCAGAGCGCGTGATTTGATGTGGGTGAGCTTGAGAGCAAGGATGTGTTGGACTACTTGATTTACATGGCGGAAGACCGCGTTGGCACCAACAGGTCGTTGTTGGGTGCCTTGGCGCAACATGTTGTTCTGAGTGATAGATTGCTGTGGACAGTCCAGCAGCAGTTAGGGCGAGCAATAGCGAAGCACATCAAGTGCTCCCTTGAGGTAACGTGAGCGTGGGTGAGGATGCTTTCCTGGTGCCTGCTTCTCGTCGAAAATGCCTAATTGGAAGAAGCTGGAGTGAAGCGGTTTCCTGAGTGAAGGACAGCCGGAGTCGAGACACACGCTTTTTTTGCACTGAGAACGACCTCTCTTTTTCGGATGAACCTGCCCCCCCAAGTACATGTCCAGCTCTTGATCTTCCGGCCATGTCTTGTCATCGTCTTTCTGCGTTGAAGATCGGCGTGCTGTGCTCCGCACCCATGGTGTCTTCTGGAAGGCCATGATGGATCGGGTATAGCTCCCCTTCAGATTCCTTCAGCCTGCCCACGAGTGCAAAGCGATGCACAGCCAAGGACAACACCCCCCTTCGTGGCTTCACGCACTTCCTGGTTTATTCAAGGTTGGCTCAGCTGGCAAAGGAGCTGAGTGTGACATCGAGTTTGGGGGGGGTTCCGAAACTTGGGACCAATGGCCATAGTTACAACGGCACATTTGGGTTACAGTGCCCTCTCTCAGTTGCTGGAACCTCGCCGCGATGAGCGAATCTCTGAAGGTCCGCGTTGGTGGAACAAACTACGCCGGCAGCCATCGTGATCCTGGATGCTGCTTGTCTGAACCGACGGTTCACATCACACAGCTTCTGCTCCTTCCTCACTTTCAGTCTTTGAGAGCCGGATGACGGACGGCGGAGGTATCCGCAGTTGTTACGAACCTGGCCTTCCAGGACGGGACAGCGGTTCTGAGAGAGGGCATTCAATACATGAATAAGCTCATGCAAAGCAGCACAAGTGGTGATGGAAGTTTGCGGATGCCATTGTTATGCGACGGCTGGAAGAAACGACCCCCCAAAAACGAGTTGGAGGTGACCCTGCTTTCTTTGAAGAGGGGCCTGCGCTGAGAGCATGCAACATAGTCGGTAACCGCAACAATAGTAGCTGTGATCTCGGCCGGATGTGGCTCCCTTGCAGTTGTGGCTTCCTTGCGCTTTGGTAGAGGACTTGGATCTCGACGTTGGCGAGCTGGGAGGTACGATTCAGTGGTCGCCCCCACAGGCATTGCAGGGCCTTTTCGGGATCATCTCAGGGAAGGGTGAGGGGGAGGGGGAGCCCGATGTCCCTGAAACCCGAAAGCCCCTTAACTTCCCTTATGGCTTCCCTGCAGGCGGGCTTTGAGGCCGTGATTTCCTATGGCATCTACCTGGCCGAGGATGCTGTCGGCTTAGGCCGGCGTGAGGCCGGAGCTTGATGAGCGAACGGAGGGCTTTCCGTACTTGTAGCCGCACTTGGAGACCCCCAAGCCTCGAAAAGCGCTCCGAAGGGCGATCCCAAAGGCCGGGGAGGGGCCCGAAATCCCCTCTCAAGTACGCACACATACACACAGTCACACATACAGAGCTCAAGAGCATCCACTGTACAGAAGGAGTCGAACCAGAAATCGGCGACTCCTAAAGCCGACGTCCCCATTTCAGAGAAGAGCCCTCACAGCCCTCACAGCGCTCACATGTCAGGTGGCCACCGCTGCCAGGGAAGACGTAGAGGCTCAGGTGGCCGACAACACGGCCGCTGGACTCAGTTCATTGAGACGGACGGGGAGATGGACTGAGGAAGTTTCGGGAATTTAGGCTGCTTGCTTTTGCTGGGCTAAGGGTCTTTGAGCGCAAGGCTCTAAGGGTGTTGGGCCTTTGGTTGAAAGAACTAATGAAGTTGATGTGGTTTTAAGGTAGTGTGCGTACTTTGAGCTATGGATGCCGGCCCAGCGAGCTAGGCGATCCTGAACCCTAAGCCCCGGAGCCATCCAGCATCAAACGAGTGATGCATGGGTCGTTGCATGTCGCAACAGAACGGAAACCTATCACGCAGAAACACCTTCGTATTTCTTTGCTGGCACACGGCCCTAATCCTGCAGATGTTTGGCACCTGTTCTCTCATGAAATGCTTGCCAAGGTGAAGGGGCGCTTCGAGTTCATCTTAGCCTACACGCGATCCGTCTTTGAGCCACTTGGCAGACTTACCAAACCCAGACTCCAGACCCCTCTAGCAGACTAAGCCCAAGCGCCTGATCCTTCATCGCATCCCTGAAAGCTGTAGCTGATGCTTCAGACCGTGTTCCCCACATAAAACTCCCTAAATCTTGTAGAGTGCCGATGATTGCTTGGGTTCTGATTCTGGGGGGTTTACAGATTCCAGCATAGTACAAGCTGGGATGATTTGCTTCGGAACTTGCGGTTGCTTAGTGTTTCGAGTGTAGGACTTGGGCGATCAGGTTTGAAGGAATGGGCCGCATAGGATTCAGGAAATGCTCAGAAATGAAGAGTCGTGTTCTGGAGTTTGGAAGAGAGGCAGTCGACTCCCACCTGGGCACCGATTTCGGACGTCTTCGCGCAGGCTCTCAAGTTCAGAGCACAGATATAGGATGATATAGGTGCGCAGAGCATGCTGTATCGTGATCCAAGTTGATGCGCAGGCGGGAGCCATCCAGTTCGAGGACCTGGATCTGGATGAGACGCAGCTGGGAGGGACGCTGCTCCCAAGATGCAAATAGGGATCAATTTGCAATGCTTGTCGAGTGGGGACGCAGCCCGCCCAGCAAGAATCACGGCAAGTCAACCCTTTGTAAGCAAGGTCGTGGCAGCCGCCAAGCGATAGCAAGCACGTCGACCAGTATGTGGCGTATTTGGCCTACTTCTGTCCCAGACTTAGAACTGTGAGAGGCTTCACAGTGTGCAGGAGTTTCGGTTTTCGGGCCTTTTTTGGAAGGGTAAGAGAACTGTGGTTGCGGCCGGTTTGAGTTAGGGGGGGGCGGGGGGGGGGGAGGTTGCGGGGTGTGTTTCCCCCATGCGTCTCTGTGCTTCATACGCCAAGCTTTATTGATCGAAAGCTGAGAGCGCGAAGGTCCCTTTTAGCAAGCAAGCGAACTCTTAGTGCCACGCTACCTGAACTACCTATGCCCTTCGCCCCAGAGCCAGCGACCTGACGACCGCTCTCTCTCTCTCTCTCTCTCTCTCTCGAAATTCCAGGCAACGGAACGAACTCCTCAGAGATGGACCTCGGCGAGGAGCCGGGCTCAGGTTGCCTTTCGTCCACACCTCCCAACATCTCTCTACTCCTTTGACTCTTAGACTCACACGGTGAAGACCGCCTCCCAGGAGAGCCCAGTATACGTCGCTGGCGTCTTCTCCTTCCCCATGGAGGCAGCGACACCCGAGCAGGCCGGCAACGAAATCCTTCTCCGGCACGGGCAACCTCCGAGACCCCTGAGACCCGAAACTTGTATTGGGGAGTGTGACCTTGGGTCCGGCACTAGGTCACGGCGGCAGCGCGTGCGGCTTTGGCTGAAGCTTTGGGTGTGGCAAACTCGGCCATCAGCGGCTTGGCGGAATTTGCAAAGTTTGAAGGTCTGGGGATTCGGGGGTTAGAAAGGCTATTTGGCCGAGTGGTTTGAGGTTCTGCACGAATTTCACGAACGGGCACCAGCAAAAGCAGTGCGCACTCTAGCTCCGATGCAAAGTCCCGCAAAAATTGCGGCATTGCCTTTAGCTCTGGAGTGTCCACACCTTCCTCGCATTTCTGAAGCCCATTCCCTGGATATGATAAACTCGTGAAGGATGGGCCTTCGAGCCCGTTCAGCTCAGAGCAATTCGGCCCCTAAGCTTTATACAGAAGAAGCACTCGATGAGGTGTCACCGTCAACCTTGCCCGACGCCTGTCCAGCCTGGTGGCTGGTAGCTCCGCCACGGAGTACGTGGTCCACTACGCCACTCGCACTGTGATTTGGGTGCTGCGGGCCTAGGGCCTCCAAGACTCTAAGGGACCGTGGATGGCTTGGTTATGGGATGATAGACCGGGTGTCAAGGGTTTTCGGGGGCACTTTGACGCCCGGATGCTTGCGTGGCCTCTTGGGAGGAGCTGCCCGTGGAGGATGCTCCAACGATGCTGCAATCTGCCAGCGCAGCAGAGGAGGAGGATGGCATGGACCGGGCCTCAGCAAGGATTTTTGTTCGTGGAGTTTGTGTTTTCGAGTGGTTTGGGGCGCTTGGTTTCAGGTTTTCGCCCATAGATGTGGGGAGAATTTCGCTTGGCCTTTTGTTCCTCGTTCTAAAGTGCTACAAAGCCTTAACACAGCACAGAAGCCTCGTGAGGTGTCCTGCGGCTTCGCCGGCACTCTCGCCAAGGACAGGCAAGGAAAGAGTCGCAACCTCATGACCGGGTCAAACTGTTGTGGGGTTCCGTCAGCTACTCAGGTCCAAGCTATCAAGCTATGAACTTGTCCCGTTTCTTGTGTGCCTTGTCTCAAGTTTCACTTGCTTTGAATCCGCAAGTAAACACACGATGCAGACCTAAACTTGAAGTTTCGTTGTACAAACCTAGACTTTCTGAACTAGTTCGCTTTGGGTGATGTCCTTTCAAGGCGTCCATTGCTTCAGTTTGTGTTAGTTGTTTGTTGTGGTGCATCCTGTCATTCCTTACATCTTCCTACCACATGTACTATGGAAGTCTAGTAAGTCTGGTCGCGTGGAAGGCCCTGTACCAAACTATGGCGAAGCCTGCAGCGTTCTAAGTTTGAGTTCCGGCAGCGAGTTGCAACATGATAACACTATATAACTTAGTTAGTTATGTAGTTGTAACATGCAGGCCCCAATACAGCCACCCGAAACCTAGCAACACTGGCAGGAGCTTCGCAAGACGGGGCTTTCGACCTCCTCTTTGTCTTTGAAACCTCTTGAAGGCAGAGCCACGTCAACGAGGGTGACGTGGTGCATAACTGTTGAAACCGCTTTGTGGGTCTTCTGCACTATGCAAATATGATGAAGCAGCGTCTCTAGTCGAATTTGCCAAGCCAGTTCGTTTGCAAGAGCCTTTGTTGGATGTTCTAGTGCCGTGGCAGGTCTTCATCTCGCTGCACCACGGGCACGGCAGATGCAGGCTTTGGAGCACACATCACTTGCTCAGGGTTTAGACAGCCTAGCTCAGGGCAGCTGAGATCTTACTTTATACGGAGAGGGCTACAAAACCTACATTCTGGATCTCGGGGAGTATTACAATTCTGCTCCCAAAGGAGAGTTTGTCAGAAAGCCTCTTCTGGAGCCCTTCGCAGGAGCAGATTTCGATGAAGTTCGCGGGCGAGGAGGCCAGGCAAAGCCCCAAAAAGCAGACACGCGGCCCCGCTAGCAACAGCATTGAATCCGCGGCCCAACCTCTGATTTCAAATTTTTTGAGGGTTCAGGGGTGTAGAGTTGAGGATTCCAGTGCTTTGTGGTGGTGGTACTTGTGAAAAGGCGTTGTTTTGTGTATGAGTATATTGTTTTCGCAGTGGTGATTTGCCTGGGCGGCAGCTTGTGTTTCGCATTGAGCTAAAGGAAATGTGTAGTTCGTGCTTGTGACATGTTTTCGACCCTACAGGACGTCTACGAAAACATGCGCAGCTGGATGAAGTCCGAGGCTGGTTCCGTGTATTGACTCGGCATCTGACGCATCCTGATCCACGCCAGGTGTTTACAAGGGTTCTCGAGCTGGTTAGGAAGAGGAGTATGAGCTATAATTGGGCGAGACTGCTTTTATCGTCTTATTGTCAGTGTTCTGCCATGACAATCGGTGGATGAACATTACATGTTTTCCAATTTTCTTTAACCTATTCCATAGATTTCTCTGTGACTATGATGGGCTATAGACTTCCTTATTCATCCTAATCTATTTGAAGGCCATTGCCAAGGAGGGGTACAGGGTAGCATAGTGAGAATTGTGCAGCAAGATCCTCTATAGTTCATTTGATAGAACCTGGTGCGGTGCCGCTTTTGAATGCTTTTTATGAGCTTGGACTAGCTTGGACCGCAGCAATCTTCGCACGTCATAGCCTCTTCCGCCTTAAGCCTCCAAGCCGCCAAACCGTTATGGGTTTAGGATTTAGGGTTTAGGGTTTGGGGTTAGGGTTCCCCGAACCAGGCGTGGCAGCCGCGACGGCTTTCAGGCCTCGTGGTGCGGATGCATCTGCGCGTGCAGTCTTTTCCGTGCATGAGGCTTTGTTTGTTGATTTTCATGACTCCGACCCTTTACTTGGTCCTGCAGACACGACTACTAGAGTTACTAGAGGCGTCTACAACTGTCGCCCAGTTTTGAGGTTCAAAGGACTTTCGGCCCCATGCAGTGTCTAAGGTTGCAACAGGTCACCTCACCCCAGCATACGAAGCGTTTACATGTCTGGAAGCTTTGGACATTTGCCCCCGACTTTGCAGGCAATGAGTCTGACAACGAGTCTTCCGATGACAGCGACCTGGAGACCCAAGAGCCAGGCTGCGGCCAGGGCAAGTCGTGGGATAACCTTGTCAGAGTCCTAGAGTCCTAGAGGCTGCCAAGGGCCAATCCAGAAATTATGCATCTTAAGGACACTTGAGAACATTGAGCGGCGACCGCAGCCATCCACCGAATCCAAGCTGTCAGGATCTGTTATGCCTACCCTGTCCTACCCTGCAATGCCCTACAATGCCCTCCCCCTCCCCCATTCCAGTGACTCGAATAGGCGAAGACAGCCGCGGGTACAGCTTCGCCAATCTCACAGGCAGAGCGCCAGGAAGTTTTGTGCTGTAAGGGTTTTCATTGCTTGGGGGTCAGGGTTGTTTGGCGGAGGAGTTTGGATTTCTTGCTAGCACCGTTCCACACCCTGCTCCCTAATCGATGCGTCCCGAAAGCCCTCGTTGAGCAAGAATGCAGAAGCAACTTCTGCCTACACATTCAGAGTTCTTCTGGAGGTTTGGGTGTGATCATGTCGACTATATGGCAATATTGCTACATCCTGGAGCTTAATTAGACCACATGATAACCCACGACCGCACGGTAACAGACCATTTCTTCTTTGCCTGCTGGAGTTGCGTCGAATCCAGACTGATGCGCCATGGCTGTTTTTTCCCTCCAAGAATAGCACCGTACACGCATTAAGGTCCTTTTGTGCATTTTTGGGGGCTGTACGGGCGACAGTGAGGCGGGGCAGGGGGGGGAAGGGCAGTTCCTCAATGCGCGAGGCGACAATCTGGCGGTGCGCATCTCGGGCTCCTTGCGCTTTTCCCTGGACGGGGCCACGGCATCGCAGGCTTCCCGGCTGAAGGAGCTTCAAGGAGCTTAAACGGAGCTGACAAGGAGCTTAGTTCTGGATTGTAGGGCATGAAGGGGGGGTGATTCCTTCAGTGCAACTCCTCTGTTTCTTCTCTCGTAGGCCGTGACTTGAGGATTGCAAAAGGAAACTGCAAAGGCGAGGCCGTCTACTCTGTGACGATGGAAATCTCAAAAACACGCAAGTCCTCGAACTGTTAGAGCTCCGAAGCGTGGAAGGTGGAGACAGCTGTGCGAGCCGCCTTGGCCAGCTCGTTCGGAGTGGGCCCTGCCGCGTTCAGCTGCTCGGGCTTTGACACTTTCTATTGTGCGGATGTCATGCATGTCATGTGTCACGGGTGCTGGAGGGATTTGGATCACGGTTGCTCCTCTACCCTGATGCTGAGAACACAAGACCAGCACCAACACCCAAAGCCGGTCACCTCAGGACACAATCTCAAAGCTGAATCCAGAAGCCACTAAGGCGTCCAGGTTTCCCAGGCGAGGCGCCTGACCACCCACTGGATCCCGAGTCTGGCGAGGATGCTGAGTAGCACCTACCAGGCTGGGTGTAGGGAGAAGACAGTTTCGTGCGTTTGCTGCAAGAAGAGGAGCCGAAGAGGAGTGCAGAACGTGGCGTATGGTAGCGCCTCGTGTCAAAGACTGCTGACGCAACCTGATGAAGGGTTCAGGCCTGTCGTCGAACAAGGGTTGGGATCTTTTGACTGAGTGAACGCTGAACTGGTGGGCACCATGATTTGTAGCTGCATCTGTGTCATGCAATTCTATGCACTCGTGCGCAAGCGAGCCCCTGGCAATATATGTACTAGACTCCTTGCAGGTCACGTATCAGCTCACGGTGCCGGTTGAGGAGGCAGATGTTGCTTGGCTTCAACAAGATCTCGCCTCGGTGGAGTTTTGGGCACCATCGTCGTGGAGCGTAGGGCCTGCTATAAAAAGGCGACGCTTCTCTTCTGGGGGTCTGGGAGAGAGGGGCTTTTCTAGAACATTCAGCCGCGAAACGACAAGGAAGCAAAGAACCCAGGCTGTCGTCGATGCTGCGACTGCAATTGCCTCGAGTTTTGCTGCTCGACTGAACAAAGGTGCCTGATAAGGGGCCTTGGAGACCGGACCGGATTGACAGAATTTCTTGCGCTCCCATTCTGAGCCTTCAGTGCTAAGCTTGTTTAAAGGGAATTCCTCAGCAAGCCAAAGCCCCAGTCTCCCTGCAACCCTGCCGTTTGAGACCTCCAAAGTACTCCCTAAGGATAGCTTCGAAGCAACTTTCGTGCGGCACTCAGAGGGAGCAGGCCGTTGCCCGACTTCAGCACACCGAGTTTGCGACATGAAGCTCTCCACGCCGAAGCCGCTGCAACCCGAATCCCAAACCGCCCCTCAACACCAACTGCAAGAACTAACAGAAACCCACAGTACCACATCACTTCGCAGAGCAAATTCCAACAGCCTTTTTTCGGGTCCGAGGCCTCAGCGCTGCTGGCCGCAGGAGTTCCTGGCTCTTCGATGGCCTCCTTTGCCATGGCCGCTCCGACACCAGGTTTCGGCAGTGCTCGGTCCTTTTTGTCTTACTCTTTGTCTCGTATATTGGACTTCTATGATGCGCTTCTTATATGGGGCGGCCGGGTGGGGGGGGGAGGGAAGGAAGGCGATTCAATGTGAGCTTAGGTTTGGGGATGCTCGACACATGCACTCCCCACCCCCCCCAATCGTCTCACTACCCCGTTGAAGAGCCGCGAACCCTCCGCAGCATACATGTTCAGCTAAATCCATGAAGCCTCCAATTTCGGGATATCTGAAGAGGGCGTTGCAGGAGAGAGTGGGTTCTGCGCAGTTGTCGGTACACTCTGAGGTGAGCTTTGCCCAGGTCAGCGTCCAGCTTCTTGTCGGACATTTCTTTGTGTTTTGGGGCTTCACCAAAAAAGTGTGAACACTTCTGCTGTGCCGAACTCTCCGCTGCTGCGATTAGATAACACGCAGAGATCTGAGGATTGTCACGCTGGCACCCGGCCTCTGGATGGTAACAAATGGATCGTGTCTCAGCAGTGACAGAAACGGTTTTCGTTCAGTGTCTTCGGCACATTAGTGCCCTCCGAGGACGACTTGAATGAGCACAACATACGCTCTGGGGATCCACGGGACGAGATTTTCTTAGCGTTGAGCTGCGGACCCTCACCTCCTCAGCATGAATTCAGAGCAGCTTCATAGCTTCTACGAACGGAAGGCAGAGGTATAATTTGCTAAGCACGCGCGATGGCTTCACAAATGATGGCACCTTGTATCAAGGACCTTTCGCGTGACTAATCTGCCCCTCTGCGGACGACAGCTTCTTGGCATTCCATCTCGCAAATTGAGTTTCAGAATGAGTGGTCAAGGGTGTTTAACCACTTCGGTTGTTCCATTAAGCCAACTTCTCCCGCCAGGCACAGCCATGCACAGTCTTTATGGGGCCGCACAGCCGGCACTGTGTTTGCCTTTGGAAACCAGCTTGCCGCAAGTTTGAGATTAACCAGTCCAATAATAGACGTTTCTCACCACCAACCCGGAGATGCGCACGAATCCGCATTTGAACATCTCGCGGACATCAACAGCCCCAACGCTTGCAACCCAGAACCCGAAAATCCCGAGCCCCCTCGTGGTATGCAGGCTTCTCGGTGCAGTTCCTGGGAGCGAGACGGAACTTGCCATTCCGACCGATTTCGCTTCTCGCTTGCCAAAGTGGGGCGCCTTCTGTTTCATATACCTCCTCTAACTACAATTTCAGCTCTCCTAAAGATCCTCTTTTCCTGTCCGCTGTTTGGGCATGTTGTTGGCAAGTGGCCCCTAACCAGCCCACTTCTCGGATTTGAGGCAATGACTCGTATGTTGGGAGCGACATCGTGATAGGTCTATTGGTTCGGCCGTGTACGCTCAAGTGTTGAAAGCTGTTCGCAATATCAAACGCGGTTGCGGCTTTCAAGCTCGGGGCCTTTGTTGTGTTTTCAGCCGTTAGTGGCACAAAATGACATCTGAGACGAGAGCTGTAGTGATTCGATCAAACCCTAAGACTGTGGACCCAACAAGTCCCAACCCCACTGCCTCAAAAACCTGATTTTGGTTCAACCTCGTTTCTCTGCAGACTGCTAGGCATTCGCTCCAAACACTCACTTCCTGGTCTACACGGTGTCCAACTTCTCCGAGCAGAGCCACTCGGGACTTAACCTTTATTCAGGAGACTTCAAGACGCAACTTTTGCTCATGTCCAGTCTCATCTACTTTGCTTGTGAGCGGGACCTCTGTCAAGCAGATTTCCCTAAGGGCTATTGAGGGTCTGACACTGTCCGACATGTGTTATGTTGAAGGGTCTCCTGCTGCGCAAGTACCGTGAAAGATGTCAAGGCTACCCCAGTGCCCTGGCCATCGTCGACGTGGCAGCTAGCGCGTCTGGACCTCAGAGATGGGCTCCGCGCAGGTCTTCCTTCAAGGGTTGCAGGGGCTATGCTTCTTCCTTGACCTGGTCCCTGCATGAGTCCTGACCCGAAAGGTCTGGAGTGCTTTTCGTTCCAGGAACATGTTCGAGTTGAGATCTACCTACCATAATTGCGCCCCTGCCGCCGCCCACCCTGCAACCCCTAGACCCAAGACCAACGCCAGGTCCAATGTGGCCTTCCTGGACTTGGAACCTCGGGCATTTTCCAGCCAAGATATCTTGCACTGTTTTGGTCTCATATGGTTCGCTTTGGACTTTTTGTGCCCCGACTGTTCTGCAAGCTTCAACACTGTCATTTTGCAGCGTGTAGGGGAATCCAGGAGGGATCCCTGCCTTGTCATCCCATCACGACTATTCACGACTGGCGCATCTAACCCACACACTTGCGTGGCAAGCTGTATAAACGCATAACGAGGATAGAACATGTGTGTTTATGCTTATGTATTATATACAGTACCTGTGCCTCAACTGCATGCATGCAAAGACCTTGCAAAGTGTAGAACCATGGCGAACTAGAGGCCATGACGATGGGTCGAAATGTGTTTCTCAGTGCACCCATGCACTGAGCAGAGATCAAGAACCGATCCGCTCTTCAACAGACAATAGCCAAGCGGCAAGGGCTCCCGACCGAAGGGCCCTGTAAAGAGATCCAGAAGAGGATTTGGACCCCGACGAACTCGGCGGCCTCGTTCGGTGGACTCCGGCAGTGGCGCCCGCAGTGCAGGCTGCAATTGTGGTGGTGCAGAGGGCGTATCACATTTTTGAGTTATAGGAGTTGTGAGGCATGTTCGGTTTTCATCAGGTTTCAGGAGCTTCAAAGACGTCAGGTATGCAGGGGTTAGGTTTGGGTTCGGGTTGTGTGTCAGGTCTGGGCCGGTCTCAAGCGCCAACCACTTGGCAGGACTACTTGGTCTACCTCGACACATCGAGCTCTTTCAGTAGATCTCAGCTTGGTGCAGCCACACCCGCCACCTTCTTGCAGCTGCCTGCTGGGACCTGAGGAAGTCTGAAAGGCTCGTGGTGCAGACCCCTTGTAGAGCCCGTAGAGTCAATCATCTCATCCGTCAAAAAGCCTCACAAGCCCAAGAGTGTGACTTCTTAGGCGGAGACAGCTCGCCAGTCCTACGACCTCATTGCTGTGTATACCCGGCCCCATGGCAATTTCTGGAAGTCTGGGCAGTTGCCTCTTCTGCTTCTTTTTTTGACTCAGCTGCACAGACTGCTTTCAGGGTCTCTGAGGGTTCTCCGGCACAGCGGCACATGAAGCTTGGGCAGAATGCTGTGCACTCACACAGTGTGCGTAACACGAGACCTCTTGCTAAACCTTCGACCTCTTGCCATATCTTCGGCCCTAAACAAGCTGAGGGCAATATTGCGGCATGTTATCAGAGGTCGACGCTGGCGGAACAGACCACTCCTGTTGCGATCAGAGTCGAGGACAGTCAGGCACAGCCTGTGAACACCTGGCCACCGTAGGCTGATCATGCAGTATCATGCATTGTTGTCGTCTGGAGTCCCCATTTCGCAGTGGTTTGAGAGAATTGCCGTTGCCGCTGCCGCATCGTTTCATGTTGCATTTTCAGTTGATCGCTCCTTCCTCTTGGGCTTGACAGGCAAGTGCGGAAAACGTCTCTTTCGTTGACCTGGACCTTGATGAGGCCTGAGCTGTGTTCGTAGCACCATGTGAAACACATCGCAGTTCCCTAAATTCATTCAAATCATGTTTCAGGGGACCCTCTCTTCGATGAAGTTTGCTTGTCGCTGCTTGTGCACGTCGATTGATGCTACGGCGCATACGACCATTTTGCGATGCTCTTTTGCTCTAGCACCTCCAATATTCGTATCACTACTGCCACTGCCACTGCTCTAACTTCTTCTGCTCATCGCTTCGTGGTCCCTGCAAAATGTCATTCATACTTCACACTGCTTGAGAGGAATTTGGGTGCCCTCTGTAGTTGCTGGTCAAGCAACAGTCAATACCGATGTCCATCGTTTTATTGCAACGAGCGGTTAAACTGATACACAGTCTTCGGAACATACTAGAAGCCCCCTGAACTTACAATTTCCTGTTCAGAGGATACACGTGTTTCAACATGAATGCGCTGGTCAGCTTGTGCACGTGTCGCAGACTGATAGTTCTGTCAAGACTAACGGCACCAAATGCTGCTCCTGGTGTTGCAGTTCGATCTCGGTGGGGTCATCACATGGCTGCCTGCTGGGAACGTCGAGTTGGTTGAGTCCTACGCAACCTGGCCTGGTGATGAGGATTTTGTTGTTGGAGAGAATTCCAGAACTGGCTAACAAATCAAGGGAGGGATTGACTTGAGTGCAACGGGGATTGCAGCTTACGGCCTCCTATTTGACCTTTGATGAGATCCAGCTAGCTGATAGCTGGGCTTTCGGGGGAAGAGTGAAAACCTCTAGTCTGGTTTCTGTTTTCTGAGGTCGTCTACTTTGCAGAGTCCATTTGCGACTTCACGCAGGCGAGCTCTTTTCTCTTTTGGGAAGGCTTGAGGCGCCCAAAAGAAGGCCTCCACCCTGGTTAGCGGCTCTGGATTCCTCAGGGGTGCTGCATTCATGGGTGAATGTGACCATGAAAGCCAGATGGACAAACTTCCAATTCCACCCTTTCCCTGCAGTCAGGAACCTCCTGCCATCGAGCCTGCTACGACCCCTGATGATCCCTGCCCGGTACCTGCATTGCAGGATGCCAACGAGACCTACACGAGTGATTCTGGAACGCATTTCGAGCCTTAGCAGAACAGCAGAGTGGCACTTGTTCTCGCCATCCTGTCGGGCTCAGCCTCTGCGTTTCTGAGTACACAAGCCGCGAGTCGCTGTTCTGCTGTATAGTAGAGACATCAAGAAAGGCATGGGAGAGAAACACTCGCACTCACACTCATCACACACACACACACACTCATCACACTCACACACATCACACTCACACTCATCACACCCACTCTCATCATCATCACACTCAGAATCACACTCACACTCACACTCACACTCACACTCACACTCACACACACACACACCCACGCACTCACGCAGGTCAAACATGTTGCTTGGGCTGGGGTTGTTGCTTATGGCTTGTAATTGTAGGGTCTTTTTGACGTCACCCTCCCTCAATCGCTTGGCCTGAAGTACACAGTCCACCTTGCTTGCATCAGGAGAATGCCACACTGCCGACACTGTGCAACTTGCTGCACATCGAGACGGTGGATGCCCAAAATGCTACGAACATGAGCAACTCAGAGGCAAGTTCGAACTGATTGTTAGTGGGAAGCTCGTGTCAATGTCAATGGCAGTCATTGGGCCTGGCCAATGCAATCACGAGTGGAGCGAGAGAATATCAGGTTTGCGCTGTTGGAGGTGTTTCTTGTTTTGAATGGCAAAGGCAATTGACGGTAGATGTGCATGGAACTGCCCAGGTAATTTCAGCATTTTCCTTTCACCAGAGACGTTGCTGCGAAACTATACGCACCTGGCCGTGTTCACGAAGTCCGTGACTTCGTCTGAAATTAGTAGCGCCCTCCTTCTTCCATTGTCCTTTCTCACGTGGGGCTGTACATCTATGTGTGCCTTGGCTTCTTGAACCTTGGGTTGTTGAGTTTCAGCCCTGCATACATGAAACCCGAGAATCCGACGTAACAACCTGACCGCTCGGAACCTAAAACCCCTTTTCTATACATTGTCTCTGTCTTTCTCCAGGTCCTCGTGGAGCAGACCACGCCCGCCGCGCACCTCATCTTCGACGCTGCTGCGAGTGTGTCGGACCTCACCTTCGACGACTTAGACCTGGACGTCTCGGCCTCAGCTTCCCGAAACCTGACCCCCCCCCCCCTCCCTCAGAGGAAGAAGCTGATTCCCCTGAGTGCCTTCCGAGTACCCCCCGAGTCCCCCGAGTCTCCCGAGTCCCCCCGAGTGCCACATTGCATTGAAAGCCACATGAACGCCACACTTGAGCCCCTGAAAGCCTGAGGAACAGCAGCTGGGTGGTAGAATCACCTTCGCACCCCCTCTATCCTCTCAAGAGCGGGTGGAGTCCTATGGCCTCTACCTGTCGCCAGGAGCCGAGACTTCCCGGAAGCGTGGGGGTTTTAAGTGCGTTTGGGGAGCTTTGGGAGAAAAGCTGAAAGTCGCAGAAACAAGGGCTCTCCGATCGGGACGAGTAGCGAGAGAGAGTATCTTCAGCGGGACAGTTGTGAACTTGCGCGTCTCGTGGCGGTGGTGGTTGCGCAGTGCATCTCACTGCCTCAGGTCGACGCCGGACGGAGCTTACCGCTCACAGATGGGAGGTGCACTCGCTGTGGGCGGAGAATCTTTGGCCACTTGACCTGATGAAGTTTGCAATTCTACTCGGTCCACTCGCGTTTCAGGCATGAGAGCTCTCTCCTCCAGTTCCTGCCAGGCACTGCCACCGGAGACCGACATTCCAAGCTTTGAGTACATCGTGGCATACACACGCTCTTCGCTGGTGGAGCCCCGTCCTCGGTGCTTTCTGAGCCTTTCTTCTAAGCGAGGGTTTGGGGCACATGTCGACAGTTGAGCAGCAACAGCTTACTAAGCATTGCAAGGATGGGCAGGTTTCTTTGCTCCTCAACTTGACCTTTAAACATGGAAAGCAAGAGCTGGTGTGCGAGGCAGAGCACGCCCGTCGCGATCCGCATTTCCGATGTCCAGGTGCGCTACAGCAAGCATAGGGTCCATTGATTGGGAAGAGTGTTCCCCTGGCGAGTTTCCACAAACACCTAGTCCAAGATAGTCCGATCATGTGGGCCGCATGTACGCAGTCCTCCTCACCATGCAGGAACCGGTGCCACGTAGCCGTCTCCAGCCCCAACCATTGGGCACAGGCCAGAGTGGAGAATGTGAGCTTCTTCGACCAGGACCTGGACTTCACGGACACTCGGCCGGAAGTCCCGAAACAAGCAGAGCAAGGAAGGTTGCACGCCAGCCGCGTGAAACTGCACAGGGATCTTCATCAGAGGGTGGTGGTGGGGGGCGCGGGGACATTCTACAGCAGGAGCAGCGATGGGAAGGAGGGCAAGTGTCATCATCACTAATCCAAATGTGGACCGCCCTTGACATTTCAGTTCATACAGGCTGTCTTTCTCAAACATCAAAGGAGCTCGGTGGCAATCTGGAATGGAGTGAGCCACCGAATACTGCTCAGGCCTGCCACGAGTCTTCGTGTGGGGTTGTGGTAGGGATGTTGTGTTAGCTTGTTAGCTTCGAGTGTGCAAGGCTTACGACGCAATCCGCCGGAAGACTGTGAGTCGCTACTGTGTTTGAGATGGACACAACCCTGATCGTCCCGCGATACTGATCGATAGCTTTTTGGGGGAGGCGGAGGCCCAATCTTGATAGAATCACACGATTCGAGGGGTCTGGGGGGCGGGGGGGGGGCCGGGGGGCTTGAATGTGGATAGTATCACAGGATTCCGGCCCGAAGTTGAGGGCACATGGCGGGTGGGCGGGAGGTATAAGGTGAGAGAAATGCACAAAAAATGAGCTCATACAGATGGCGATCCAGAGTCAAAGATGCAGCCAAGACATATGATCAAACACTGAAGGGCATCTATTCAGAAAGATGTAAATCAGCTCACAACATCAAGATCCAGCCGAGGCATGGGCGCGTGTGCGTGGGCGGGTCGAGCAAGCGACATTAGTGGGGGGGTGTAGCGGCGGTGTACAGTACCAAGACCTGATAAGGGAGGGGGAGTCAGGGGGCGGGGGGGGTAAAGGTGGTTGCGGCGCGATAGTCACGCGTGCAAGTCATAGGCCTTCGCGCTTGAAGGCTGCTTTGGGCACAGCTTGCGCAACAGCCCGAAAGGCCTGCGACAGCACAAGCTGCTGTCAACTTGGAATCCAGATTCCTGAATCCCAGACCCTGAGCCTTATGTGAAAGCCCGAGCAGTCCCAAGACCAAAGACACGCGGCTAGGTGCAGCAGTACGTGATCTACCTGGCAGAGGTTCTAGATGAGCCATGCCCGCACGTCAGCACCGATCAGCGGTGGGGATGCCGGCGCCTTTTTTATCTATCAGCGTTCGGCTTGTTTTGGTCCTGCATCCTTCTGTTCCTCCTCGTACGGTTGTTAAAGTCGTGCAAGCTTGATTTTGCTAGATGGCACCATACGGCACCTGAACTTGTCTCTGGGTCGCGGGCTGAGTGGCGCTATATCAATGCAACGTGGCATGGGAGGCTCGACATAACATGCCCTGACACCCTATGAAGTGCCTCACATGGCCTTCGGCGCAGCGAAAGCTTCAGCTCCGTTTCTTTCGGCGCCGCTTCCCAAACCCACAAGGAGGGTTGGCCTAGTAGTGTATGACATACAAACGCTATAGATGGAACAGAACCGACACAAGCATGCTGTCGCCCTTCTGTGTAAGGAGATGACCATGGCAGATGTGAGCGATTCTTCATATGCCGCGGACGATTCGGATGCACAGGCGAACTTGCCGCTCCAAGTCCCAATGGTCCTCATTGATGTCGTTGATTCCCGAATTGCAGTTTAATAGGCCGCTCCAAACCCCAAACGGCCCCAAACCCGAGGCTTGCAGGCTGCCAGGAACCTGGATACCTAAAGCAGGACGCGCTGTCTGCTTTGAACATCTCTGCCCGGCTCTATGTGACCAATGCCTCCTGACAACTCCGTGAGTCGGGACATTTCGGGGGCTTCGTGGAGTCCGGAAATGTATCAAAGTGTGTGATCAATGAGTAGGTTCGGGGCTTGGAGGTGTTCTTGGTGCCACGCATCAGCAGAGAAACTTCGGCTGCCAACTGATTCCGGAACCCCACATCCTCAAGCCCTTGTTCATGCCAAGTCCACTGCACTGTCAGATGTAAATCCATGTGACTAATGATCCTCCCAAAGTCTTCTACCCCCTGACATTCGCTACCGTCCCAGTCCGTCCCAAAGGTCTCTGTGGGCCAGGCCGCTATGGGCTTGGGGATTCACTGGAGATCACGGAGCAACGGGGTTCAGCGTTTCAGGTTTCCTCAGGTTTACTAGAATTCAGGGCTGCACTTGTGCAGGGTTTCAAGAGCTTAGGGGCTTGTGGCCACAGGAAGGAGAACTGGGCTGGGTCGTAGCAGTCACATGCTCCGAGCACCTTGAAAACGAAGCTTTGAGACGCTTCTGTCCAGCCCCTAGAATTCAAAAGCTTTTTGCAGCAGGAGTTTCCACTTTCTGGAGCTACCCAAAGCCTCTAGATGCAGGCCTCGTTCGAAGTGGTTCCGGAGACTTCGCGCCTGGATGATAACAACTCTGCGGTCCAGCTTGTAGCTTGGAGCGGATGAGTAGGAGTTGCCGCGTGGCTCCAGGGGTTTAGAGGGCATCGCATCGGCTTTGACTGGGCAGCACTTCGGCCAAGCTTATGTCAGAATTGACGGAGACATTGGCTAGGGACAATCAAGACGTTCCATAGACAAATCACCATAAGACCAAATGGAGAGTTGTTTCGGTCGAGACAGATAGACCATACAGATCTTTGATTTACCAGCAGTTGCGTCGTGCCTCGGATCTTCCTCGGAGCCTTACCCCAGGCATACAATAGCTTCCTCATCTATGCGAAATCTGCGTTGGTGGAGCAGACTACGCCGGAGATTCACCAGATCTTTGATGCCAAGGCACGGTGCGCAGTGTTTATTCCCAGAGCGTGCCGACAGCGGAGCCTTTCAATGCTACAAGTGCAGGCGAATGTGGTGAATCCTCTGCTTGTGGATGAAGATCTGGACCTCGACGAAATTGGAGGCTGACCCACGCGTTCGCATTGCCTTAAAGCTTTTGACAGACTCCATAGAGTCAACATGTCTGCATTCACGACTTGCATGGTTTTTGAAGACGGACCCAAATGGATTTCTTTTTCTGTAGGACGTGTGAGCTGGTCGGCGCCTCCGGATGCGAGCCGCTGGGCACATACTTCTGCAGAATCCCCGAATCTCGAATCTCGGGCCCGAAGCCGCCTATGCCCTTGAGCCTCAGAACACCCCTGCAGTGCCCTCGCTACAGTGCCCTATGCTTCCAACGGTCCCAATGGGTCTCAACACCCAATAAGCAGCATCACCCCACACTCGAAACTGCCAAGGTCGGGTGCTTCTGTACCGGGCCGTTTTGGCAATGGATTCTGCTGCCACTGGCCGGTCTCAGATCGGTGAGGCACAGGGGGCACCCAGAGTGCACCGAGTCCCGAGTTTTTTTCGTAGAGGGGGAACGAAACGAAGTTACAATTCAGAGATGAAGAGTTTTTCCTCCACACAAGACGTTTTGTTGATGTCAGTTGATGTCTGTTGCAGCTGTGCAATTGTTGCTGCCATGCCAGAAGTCCTCCGCTACAGAGCGCATGTTTAGGTGGATACCTCCCTTGTAAGGCTTCTTGCTTTCCCGCGCAAGCAAAGCACAAGAAAGCAAGTGGGTACGAGGAATGAGAAATGCGATGGTTGTAGGCATGCCCCTTGCAGGACATCTACGCGCCGGGTTTGGAGACCAACCTGTCGGCAGAGCAGCCCCTGGTTGCGCGGCGAGAATGGTTCCCACACCTGAGCAGCTTAAGTCCCGACAGACATATGTTTCAGAATGCCTCGATGCATCGAAGAGTCGAGCCAAAAACTGACTACAAATACGATTCATCGTTGATGCCGAAGCCTGAAGCACCCAAGCCCACATCCCCAATTCCTTAAGCCGCTCTCAACCCTGCGGACTCAGGGATTCTACAGCCACCTCAGTGTGTTTACGGCTTCGCGGCTCGTTTGCATGTACTGCCATTGTTCTATACGCCCCTCTCAAGTAAGTTACTGAAAGAACCAGTGCCGGTGAGGTTTCAGCTTTTGGTGGTTTGGGGCTGAATTGAATGCTAAAGCCCGAAGCCCTCTACCCCGAAGACCGCCGACACCGCCTAGTTCCTCATCCTCTCCCTCGACCGCAGCGTCGCTAAGGCAGCTGGTGGAGCAGACAACGCCCACGTCTTCCGAGCTTTCCGACACAGCCGCCCCGTCATGAATGGAGAGTGTTCGTAAGCGTTGCCTGAAGCATAGCAGCTGGCTGCCAGAAAAAAGTTGACTCTGACCCTTCTGCTATGAGTCACTTCGAGAATGGCCACAAACAGTAGAAATCTGAGTGCCCTGACAAAAAGCCAGGCGTGTCACACACACACACATGCACGCACACATGCGCGCGCACATGCACATGCATGCGCACGCGCACGCCCACACGAGCACGCACACGCACACGCACACGCACACAGCTCTTCAAAAGCTTTGTCGGCAGCGCATGGCAGACCTTCAGACCTGAAACCCAAATAAACCTTGTCTGAGGTGCGGGTTGTCTCGGAGGTACAATTCGACGACTACGATTTGGACCTTCAAGAGGCCTTGATTTCTTTCACTTGCGGTATGGGGATGTGTGAGTGCAAGGTGTTGTGTTAAGATTGTTCGTTCCAAGTTTGAGCCGTGAAACTTGGCATGACGAGCCCTCAAAGGCAGGACTCAAACACTTCAACCACCCTAAACTCAAACTCCAAACCTCATTTCAAAAAGGCCATCTTGTCCGAGAATCGCGCAAGAATGGTTGCAGGTCGGTGGCGACGTGTTCTGGCAAGCTCCAGCTCCCTCAACGTATGCTCCTTCTCTTTTACAGCTCTTTCAGTGGCACAAGGCTTTGGCTGGTACGGAATGGTGCGGATTTTATACGGGAAACGTAGACACTGTAGGATGGAAGGTTGAACATCAAGCAGTTTAAGTGCTGACTCGAGTTTCTCTGGGACATGAATATGCATATTCAGGTGCCAACCTATCCGGAGAAGCGATTGCACAGAAGATGTTCGGATTTGCCAACCTGCAAGGATCGAAGCCTTGAACCCGCAGCGTAAGTGAGCTTAGGGGACGTATAGGCATTTGCTCCCTGAAGCCTTGTTTCCCTCGATAAGCAGACCAACGCACTTGTTGCCTGTGTTTGTTGCCACGGCTTGGGTAGCATGCTCCTAAGTGAAGCTCCCCAAAGGATCCCACATGTGCCGCTCTGACGACGGGGCGTGGGGAACACGGTGCTTGGAAGGAAGGGTTGGGAAAAGGCTCGCAGAAGGGTGAAGGAGACCACGTCCTGGTTTTTTGTGTTTCCAGGTAGAGTTGGTCTGGCTCAGGGGCTTTAGAATGTCCTTTGCTCAGGTTGTGAGCTACCGAGTGGCTCTTGGGACCCTACGCCTCTCAGCAGGAAATGGTCAATCGATGTGGCCGCACAGGTTCTTTGGATACTTGAGGAACTTAAAGGGGTCGCAGGCTCGAAGTGTAATGCCTTCACATGAGACGGTAGAAGCATTCAGCAGTTGGCCGATGTCAAGCCGATTTTGACCGATCCCAACTATCTCTTGAGGTTGAAGAAACACCCGAAACACCCGAAACTCTGTTCTGTTGGCACGGCCCAGGCAATGAAAGCCATGAACTGCCTGGCAACGATACCGTCTACGCCCTTTTGGAATCTCGGCAGCATGCGCAAAGACCCCAAGATGCGAAGCACGAAGCCTCAAACCACAATGGGCCCACAACCCGATCCTCGAAACGCTGACATAGAATTCCAGAATCTTTCACACAAGAAAGCATTGTCGTCAAATACAGGGGTTTTGTGGCGTAATCTCCTATCTTTTGGGGGCTTTGCTTTGGCACCAAGAATGGGATCTTTGTCCGTGTTGGTGTGATGAATCAGTCATCCAAGCCATTCCAAACCCTTGCAATCCATTTCATTGCTTTGGCGTGGGGTCGAACATTGCATGCGACCAGGAACAGCCTGTTGAGTTGGGTCGTGTTGGGAACCTGTGTTTAGTACGTTATCGTTCATAGTCAGGACTTTCAACATCATGGTCCTTTTGGGACAGTCTAGCACTAACCCAAGCTGTCACATGCTGCGAGCGTCGATTAGAGCTAGCCTGCATCTGCATCAGCTCCAAGGAAAACGAAACCATCAGCAGCCAGTCGTGGGCTCTCGGAACCTTGACCGCTACAGGGGCGTGGTGCTCTGGACTCTACACGGCCTCTTACATTTGACTGAGGGCTTCGGGGTTCTTGCATCCACGGAGTTTAAATCTTTAGCCTCACTTCAAAACCCCTAGCACCCTGCTCATTAAATAGCCGACTGTTTTGATTTAGGCGTTTCAGGCTCCGAAGCCCAGTTTCAGGGTTTGGCTCTCGCAAGGCTTATATAACTAGGCGATGTACTGTGATGTACTGAGTGTGGGGCTACAGTGCGTTCTCGGCCTCTGGGCGTGGCCATGTGTAGCCCCCCCAAGCCTCGGCTGGCAGAAAATTGTATTGCGCCTTCAGCCTGCCCCTTTGAAGCCCCCAAAAACAGACCCAAAAAAGGCTTAAACTCCCAAGCTCCGAATTCCTGTAGCCTCTCAGGGCCTACCGTTGGTGTGGTGGGAGTTGCATCGCCAAGTCTTTCAGTGCCGCCCGAGACAGCGATCGGAGATGCCACGCACCTCCTCGCCCCTGGATGCGTATGGCATTTGGGGGCTTTATTCCTGGGCTGGGGGTTAGGCTCGGTGCAGGCTATGGATATTTTGCACTTCTGTCCTGAGCCTTATATTAGCCGTACTTATCTCTTTGGCTTCGACCTTCGACCCGGTTGGGTTACTGTTGGGGCAAAGCCGACTGGATCAAAAGGAGCACGGCTGACCATGTCTCCCAACTGTTGAGGTCTTTGCCTCCTCCGCGTTGGCAGAACAGCGGACGCCACGAGCTGCTGAGATCACCGACACCGAATCTCGAGTATCAGGCTTGCTGCTTGAGAGCGAGCTGTGCTAATCATGACCCCCCATCTTCAGCCCCGAACTCCTCGAATCCTTCTGCTGTCTTCAGGGATCAGCTTTACGGACCTCGATCTGGATATGCAAGATCTCTCGGGGGATGTGAGCTGGCTCCAGCCCACCTCGCGAGACTTTGTGTCGACATACGTGCCGTCCTCAGCGGGGGATTCAGTTTAGGCATTGCATGGTTCTGCGGCACTTATGAGGGGCTTTGGCCAGATCTGTCAGGGCTGTTCGGTTCTCGCATCTGTTCATTGCCATTTGCGGGGCATAGCAGAGTACGCAGCTGCACATCCTCTCTGGGTCTCTTGCCTGCACAGTGCAACCCCTGGGCCACCCCGACTGATATTGCTAGCTGGGCCAGAAAGGCCTTTTGTGAATTTAAGCGTATGAGGCAAGCTGCAGTGCGCTGCCCGAAGCAGCTTGTCGGACTTTCCATTCCGATGGTCGACCTCCTCAGGTAATCTACCTCGCCTTTGATCCAGTTGGGTCCGGCCGGTCGCAGCTGAATGAAGTTCCATTGGACACGAACCTGATTACCATTCCGCCGGACACGCCCCTCTTCTATTCATTTAGATTGTGCAGAAGAACATGCAGCCCTTCAATTGGGAACCGATGCGAATCGGGTTGTGCACTCTCAGGAAGTCTGGCAATCGGCAGTTCCTTCTCGTCTACGCGAAGTCCGTGCTCTCAGACGGTCATTGCTAAAACCTCACGCAGCACGCATATCTTCAGCTGTTGGGTTAGGGGGGTTGTGCTTCAGAGCTGTGCTCAGAGGTCTGTTCTGGCGGAGCAGACGACGCCTGCTTCCTTTGCCATCTCAGACGTCGTTGCCATGGCCGACTTGTTGCAGAAAGTACTCGACTGTTGAGAGCATGCCCAATACCAAAGTTGTGCGGCAACGCAGCAGGTAGCTGTCACGGCGTACCTCCTAGTCTAAAGACTGTCAACTGTCAACCCTCTGCAACTCCACGGTGCAGAAACAGCTTAGGCGTCGAACGTCACCTTTGAAGACTTCGACCTCGATGCATCAGACATCGGTGGAAATCTCACTTGGGTCGCAGCGGAAAATGAGGCTCAAGCAGTTTCCAGGATAGGACTCCAAGACAAGCGTCGAGCCTGGCACTTGCGAGAATTGAATGCATATTGGTGAAAGTGCGAGAATTTCTGGGATGTCCAAAGCTACTTCCCCCTAGGCCCCCAGGTCACTACAGCTGCCATTTGGCGAAGCCTCCCACGAGGCATACGTGCAGCACTACGTGGTGTACCTGGCAATCAGCTGCAACATCTCGAACTCTTCCGAGGCTTCCATTTAGGTCTTTGGCATGGGCCTGACTTGCAACTTTCCACAGCCGCCAGAGAGTTGAGAGGCGTTGAGAGCCTGAGTTCTGAAAGGATGCTGGGGTGAGCCCCAAATCATATCGTATTATTGCAGTTTTTACTGATAGAATACTCGAATGATTCATTGATATACTGATATAAGACTGTAGAATACCCCCCCCCCCCCGCCCCCCCAATCTCTTTGTAGGCGGCGACGCTGCTGAGCGGCTCCGCGGCGCTGACCGTGGAAGGCCCTCTGCAGAGCTCGGGTGCGTAGAACAACGCCTCTCCCTTAAACCTCATTCTTATAATTGTAAGAGCAGAATAAGAGAGGAAAGAGAGGACTCGGAGTTGAAGCGTATGAGGGCTCGCGTTCTTCATAGGGTATGTGAAGCCAAGCCGGGAGCCTGGAGCATCCCGTCCCCGACATGCTGGATGCTAAAGCCCCCCATCTTTCGGCCCGAAGAACCACGAAAGACCTATGTGCAGCCTGAAAGGCGCTGATGCCGCACAGGCTCGGGGAAGCGGGGTTTGACATTGGATGTCGGAGTTTACTATCCTGGACGGGGGTCGGAGTTTGGTTAGTCCGGGGTTGTTGGGTTTGGAGCGCCTTGCAGCCAGTGCTTAGCGTCCATAGAGCTATGGAGATTTAAGGAACATCACGGCTCCTAGAAGAATCCTGGAAGCTGTTACAGTTCTGGGTGCAACTGCATGCACATGTACCTGCACGTGCCTAGCGATCTACCGTGTTGAGATAGACGCAAGGGAGATAGACTTGAAAGCTCGTCAGAAGTTTCCCGGTTCAGAGTTTGGCGCAGTCTTGTTCTGGGAAGTTTCCCGCATGTATCCACTCCAGCATGAGAACAAGGTCACCGGGAACAGATATTGCAGCGAACGGCCTGTGGGTGAACGCAACCTGACACAGCCCTACACCGAACACTGTAGACCTGGTGCTCTTCGTACCACCTCAACGGCATCTCAAACGGCAGGTCGAAGCAGCCGTCGCTGCGGCTCTGGCTGCGCAGAACCTTTGGGGCACTTGCGCAAACCTTTGCTTTCTTTCAGTAGATAACGCAGACCACCATGTTCGTGAGGCTTGGAAAGGCATCAGCCCGCTGGTTCACAGCCCGAATTTTGGATGACTTAAACAGTTGGCTCAAGAACCTCAAAGGTTTGGCGTGTCACCTTCTTCTGCCACCGTACGCGCAGACGGGGTGCAAGCGCGTAGGCTTCTGGGCGAGGCAGGCTAGCTGGAAAGCGTCAGGTTTGCGCGGAAGGGCTTGGTTATGCAAGAAGTTGATTCCAATTTTGGAGTTTGCTTCTTGTTTGGGCCTTGGAAGAATTTACCGGCTTCGTGAGGTACGGGCTTCAGGGCTTAGGCTTTGAATGATGCTGCCTAAGGGCTTGTCGTAAACTTCCATGCGCTTCCTAAACTCGTCTGAACCTCGGCCACCTGAACATCGAGCCCACTTAGAATGGGCCAAGCCCGAAGGGGTGGAACTTTTGGAGAGTTTGGGATTCGGACCCGAGGCCCCACTGTTAGACTGTGCGAAGCCTGAAAGCAAACAAGCGTTGTTTTTCCTGCGTAGGCCCGGCGCCTCGCAGCCATGACCTGGTTGGTCACCTACCAGGCGCTCGAAACATTTTCTCAGGCAATGAATCATTGGAACGGCATGGGCTGGCTTAGGGACAGAGCGTCGGTTCGAGCCGCCTGAGGGCACCTGGACATTCTTCGCAGCAGGTTCTCCTCACCTCGGTTTCTGGAGCCGATGCAGCTGCCGCTGCCGCCTCGGTGACACCCGCTTCCTTTGTGTCCTCGGTGGGCTCCAGCCTCATCGCAATGGGCGTCGACAGAGCTTCGACTGCACTTCTCTTCGGAGTCTCTTCGGAGTTGCCCGAAGCTTCTTCCACATGTATCAGATGGCCGCAAGTCTGCTCCCCCGCAACGAGTCTCAGGTGCATGAGAGTTCATAGCAATCCCAAACATGTGGGTGTTGTTGGCTTCACACGCATCATGCTCCAAAGGCCCAGGATTTCCCTTGCCTGTCGCGCTCCGTGCCGGCTGCGCCATGCTGTGCACATATTGAGGTGCGTTGGTTTCGCGAAGTCTCGTCCGAAGCCCAGTTTGAAAACCAAAGCATTCTCTAGAACCAAACGGGTTCTAACGAGCGTGGGACATGAGACGTCTTTGAACAGGCCCACAGCCAGCCATGACTCTGCAGGTGTTGATCAGCTTCGAGGCCTTTAGCGTGAGCCGAGTGGTGGTGGACTCGGCGCTTTGGCCGCGGTGTTTCAAATTCGGGTGCGCTGTTCGGGTCAGCCGGTTCTGTCGGAACCCTAACCGTCCTAACCCTACAAACAGCCTTCCGTGAATCCTCTTGAATCCGCACCCTAAGTCACCCTTTCCGCACTCGTCTTTGAGGTGCCAGCTCTACCGGTGTGGAGCGGGGCAGTTGATGGAAATATCTCCATCCAGCAACTCGGCGGTTTAGGTCGCACTGAAGAAGAGGGAAGTTTCCTGGAAAGCCTTGAAACTCTACTCTGAGATGCTGGCATGCTGAGAACGATATCTGAGCCCGGAGTATGAGAGTTCAATGAAGGTTCACCATGGAGAGTGATGGAAACTTCTCCGAGCGGCGGTTGGCGGCAGCGACCTGGGAGGAGGACTTGCGCCTTGGTCGGTGAATTGGACCGGCGCGGGCAGAGGGGGTGGCTCAACAAGTCCGGTTTCAGGTGATGATTGGGATGTAGCAGTGTAGGCAGTGTAGGTGTCAGTGCCCTAGGTCTATGCGTTTCGTGCTACTTGCAGTCCTGGAAGCTAGAGGACGTTGAAGTTGAAGGTCAGCAGCTTCAAGTTCAGCTTGTTGCAAGCAGGGAGTTTGCCAACGCCACTTCCCAGGCGATGGACGTACCTCTGCAGCCTGGAATACTTTGGCAACGCAGCTTGGATGGCACGGCATAACCTGTCTGTTGGTTCGTTGATATGGCATACTGCTGGGAGTAGACTGAGAAGACATCGTCGTCGCTACCATGGCCAACATTTCGCTGCCACAAAGACCCTGAAATGAGCCCCGAAAATGATGGCACTACCATGTTGAGTTGAGGCACAGGGTGCCCCAGAGACTTGGGGGATGTTTGTATACATCGACATCCCCAGTGTGTCGCTCTGCACACGCTGTACACCTCTCAAACAACCTGAAGGTGAGCGCTGGCATTACCAGCATTGAAGTGCCAGTGGACTATCCTCTCGGCAACTTTACACATCTGGCGATCTTTACGCAGAGTGCCGTGGCCCCTTTGGCTGCAAGCATGTGACGAGTTTCGGAAGTCGTCGCCGTCCGTTTAGGAAGACGGAGCCAACATTCCGCTGCCGTGAGGGTTGGCATCCAGACGCAGGCAGAATCAACCATCGCGGCTTCGCTCAAGATCGAGGATGCAGACGCAACTTCGGCTCTTTCACGCAGAGTAGTCAGCAGTGTGATCGAAGATTTGCCATCTGAACATGACAGCTTTTCTGCAGACACGACAGGTGTTGAATAAGTCCCCCCCAATCCCCGCCCTCCCATGAGCCATCGGAAGGTTCTTGGTAACTTTCGTGAAGATTCGCCATGGTCCATGGTGGTTATAGCGTTAGTTCCAAGCCTCAATGTTCTACCGCTTCACTTCCAGAGAGAAATTGTTAAGCCCCAAAATTCCAAGCTTCTAAGCATGCGGCCCCCACGTCAATATTTCCAACAACTAAACTGGCAGGGCGAGAAAAGTTGGAATTAGGAAGGGGGTATTTGGAAACATGGAAAAAGAGGCTGCAGAACTGAAAGATATTACAAAGTGATCCTCCGTTCAGCCTGGTTCTCTCGCCTGCTTTAGTGAACGTAACTTTCCTGAAGCCAGAGTTTGTCGTTTTGGACTTGAATATAGCAACGTTCAATAGCGACATACATACTTCTACAGCGTGTTGACCGTCAAAGAACACTGTCGCCCATTTAAGGATGTCTCGTTTACACCAAATGCTAAGCGCCTCCCCTGGATCCTTAGCGCATCCCCTCCAAAGAGCCTTACCGAGATCCTCCACGTCAACCTTGCTATGAATGGCGGTTGACCTGCTTGCATTTCACTGGAGACTTCCTGGCTGAAAAACTTATGAGGAAACCTGAGCAAAAGCCAACTGCCCTTGTGGCCAAAACAGCCAAAACCGCCTAGGCGAGCGTGTCGTTTGTGTCCTTCCCTGACGAAGATCTGGACGAGATGGAGATTGGGGGCGGAATCAGCTGGGTATCTTCACTGGACCAAGCAAGTTGAGGCTGTTCCAATACATGTTGTTCACAGGATCTTGCTGGAATCGAAGTATGTTACCAGTTTGTCTGGTTTGCGGGGTGAGGACATATAACAGGGTTTTGGTCATGTCTGGCCTATTGGGCCTTTGGAGGCTGAAGGCCCTTTATGGAGCAAAACGGCAGATCTCCCGAACACGGGCGCTTGTTGAAACAATTGCCGATAGCCCCCCCCCCCCTACAGAGCATCCTGTCAGAGCTGACCCGGCTCAAGCTCTGCATTGGAGGAATTTGCTTTTGGATTATCCTTGTCCCTTTAGAGTCCCTCGACCCTGCCGGAAGCAGGCTTTTGTTTCCTGAAGCCCTCTGGTGTTTTCACTTAGAGCCTGAGTCGCCAAACCCATGCAACTCCGAGGTAGAACCTGTGGCACTTGGAAAGGATCGCGTGGAGTTCTACACCCTCTACCTCGCGGTGCCTCCTGGGCAAAGGGTGTCCCTGGTATGTTGTAGGGCTCAATGTCGAAGGATGTCGAGGGTTTAGGGTTGAGGGTAAAATGTGGGGTCCAGGGTGCTGTTGCTTTGGGGAAGGTCTGCGGTTGAGCTTGCAATCAATGCATTCGGCTTGACAAGACGGGGAGCCACGGGGTTGAGGCTCCAACCGATAATCAGGGCAGACTGTTGGAGTGAGAGCGCAAATGAGAGGGGCTCTCACTGTGGTGTGATATGCTGCCCCAAGTGCCCATGCAGGGTTTCAAAGGCAACTTCTGGCTTGGCAATAGTCCGGCGAGTATATGGCATGGGCATACACGTAGATACTGCACGGGAATTGCACACATAAGTATTCAGGTGTTGTCCTGTTTCGTGGCTTCGAAAGATACTGAAATCCAAACCTGGTGGTCTTGCTGAGGAGGAACCCACTGGGCTCGGCCGTTCTCTGCTCTTCAACGTGGCAAAGGCACCTTGCAGAATCCTCAGTAGCCGCCCCAGCCTCTGCTCGACTGCCGGCTCTTTTTCTGCTGAGCCTGATGTCTTAAATCTGTACCATGCGCAGTTCGCTGAGCCCAATCTCAACTTGATCAAAGGACCTGCTTGTTCCGCAAAGAAATCAAGACATCCTTTCGAGGGGGCTGTTGAAGTTGCAACGCCAGGTGACGGTGAATGAACAAGCCCTGGTTACAATCATAGTTGCATGCTTACCAAACGGCTCATGTCCGGAATTCTCCGTAGGCCGCGACCCGCAATCCTGTCAACGAGCTGCATCTGAAAACTGAGCTTATCGCAGCCATTCGACCTTTGGCGTCACATTTTTGTAGTTGCCAGTACCAAGGTTCCAGGAGCAAGAGAGCCAACCAAGCTCTTCTTCCAATCTCCCAAACTAGTCAAACTATACCCTCAGCCCGCAGCAATGAGCCACTGTGTGCAGGGCGAGAACTCGGCTCCGCTGTCCGCAGGCTCAGCCCTTGCCAGCTTCCAGGCCCGCACGGCATTGTTTACCAAGCAATGCAAGGTTTGGTCTTTTGGGCTCTGCAAAAAAAGCAACATGCGTAAACACATGCACTTCGCTAGGCAAAGGGCCCAGTTCCCCACTCTGAAAAGGTGTGATCAGCGTGTCAGGAGCCTTTTGAGGTGGCCACTGCATAGCCACATTCCAAAGCCCCACCAGGCCCTCGTGGTTTATACAGTGTCCAAGCTGGCGGAGCAGAGTACGCCTGCCTACGCGCTCCTGTTACTGGGCCACGTTTGTGAGTTGATCTTTGACCGTTACCTCTACGTTACCGCACATCACGAACCTCTAAGGGATTGTATGTAGAGACAGCCCAGGTCCGACACGATCTCCATTGCCTCGAACTTGCGCGGCGCTGAGACAGCGAGTTCTTAATTAAGCACCCGTTGAAAGCGTAGAGGATATTGGGAGGTTGCGCTTTCGGTGGATGGGCAGGAGATTTCGCCGCCCCCAGTTTTGGGGCTGCGGGAATTTGGGACACTCTGAAGGGATTGTGACGATAAAGCTGCTGGCCCTAAGGTCGTTCCCGGATTTGGACCTTGACTTTGACGATATCGGTGGCACCCTGTCGTGGCTGGAGCCAGGCGACACAGAGACGCTTGGGCTCATGGAGCCTTTTTTCGGCTTTGCGTGCTATTTAATTTATTGTTCTAAACGGCTTAGGTAGCAAACGCAGTGGATATGGTTTTGGCCTTCAAACTTGCAGCTGCTGAGGTTTGTCACATCCCACTTCGTCTACATGGCCTTACCGGTAGAGGAGACTCGGAGTCGATTTTGCCAATCCAACTTAAAGCTGAAAACAAACAAACTGAGAACGACCGGACCTCTGGAGTTCACTCAATCCTTGAACCCCCCGCCCCGGCTATGGCCTTAAGACGTGCGTACGACGACAAGCAGACCAGCTCCCTTTCCCCAACCACCAGAATGACCTAGAAAGCCGAAAGCAGAACGAAGAAAGGAAACCCCTCCCTTCCACCAGCCTAAGGGTTGAGGGTGTAAAAAGCCTTACTTTGTGCCCTAACAGGCAAGGACTTCGCATTTTGAGAACTCCACAGCGCAGGAGGCTTCGGACCTTGGCCTCTGCCAGGGTGCGGTGGCGCTCGGAGCAGGCTCTCGGGTGCTGCCCGTGTTCTGCGTTGTGGGGGGGGGGGGGGGGGGCTTTCGCTGGTTTTGAGTGTTTTTGAAACATTGAATTTGGAGATTTCGGGGCTTAGGGTCTTGGAAGCTGGCTCCGGGAACTCAACTCACCGACGGCATGCGATTGTCGCTGCATATCCCCCACATAGTTTCCAACGATGTCTTTGTTATCGTGGCGCTTGAGATTTGTTGGACGAAGCTTTCGTGACTACCAGGATGTCACAGGATGTTGGCATCGCCTTTCCGTTGAAGCCGTTTGTTTCGTCCAATGCCCTTAGGACATGAGAACAACATGGGCGGTCTAGTCTAGTGCTGAGTACACCACACCCAATTACGACTGTTATTGTTGGAGTGTTCTAGTTTCAGTTGCATCACTACACTACGCAGCAATATAAAAAGCATACGGGTGTACAGATGTTATAGGGTTCTTAGGGGAGGGGGGTTCCATTGGGCGTAACCTAGTACTCCCCACTACTCCCTAAGGCTCCCGAAGCTTCCCTGAGGTTCCCTAGGTACCCCCCCCTTGAACCCCCTCCCTTAAGAACGCTATACAGATTCTTCGTCACAAATGGCCACAGAAAGCCATACTGAGCTTCTTTGGATCAGTGCCCGACCTAGAAGTCGGAACCTCGAGGTGCGCCGCAGATCTTCGGGTCGCTGACCGTCTCGGTGTCTGGCGCCTCCGCCGCCCAGGTCCTTGTGGCCACTGGGCTCGCAGCCTTTGTATTTTCTTGAAGCAAATCACATAAGGTCATGTGGTGGTTGGCTGTTGGGGGGTTTGCCCACATCTGTTGAAATTAAATTGTGCAACATCATTTCTTGAAGCTTGCGCATGGTGTCTTCGCTAGGCTAGTCCCTAACCCCCTGAAGCCCCAATCGAAGAATTCCCTGCACAGGCTGTGAAGGCTTCTCTGTCCAAGGCACGGCTAGGGTCGAATTGCTTGTTGGTGTTCAGGGTTCAGGGTATAGTAGGTAGTATAGGGCTTGGGGATGGGGTCAGAAAGTCGGGTTCGCGACCGACGCCGCCTATTTACAGCAGCGATTCCTTTACAAGTTAATGTAGCATCCAGCCCTGGCACTCGATCCCGGAATATAGCTTGGGCTTGCCACCAAAAACTTCACACATTTTGAGTCTCTGTGTCCTTGCCCTTACCTCGCTGTTCCAGGTGCTCGGGATCCCCCTCACCTCGTTGATTGTCACCGTGACGCCAGCGAGTTCTCGCCGGCTCAGCACCGGCGGCGGCGTCCAGGCGTGGCGCGTGCAGTACCAGGCGCCGTTTTGGGATTGAAAACTTCCTGCGGGTACGCCCTACACCCTATAGGCTTCGGCAGAACTTTTAGCAAAGCATTTGGACCCAACAAGAATTTAGGGTGAGAGTTTAGACTTCGGCTCCTGTGCAGCGTAGGGCGTAGGCCTTCGTTAGGCATCGAAGGCTCGAAGGATCAAGAGGGGAATTGTCTACGGCCCCGGAGAATCGATGCTCTGTGCTTTGGCACGGCGCCGAACGGAGGAAAGGAGAGCAAGACTCCGAAAAGTGTGACCATAGTCTTGACATGACGTCGGGCTCTTGCACATGTCGGTCATGAAGTTCCCAAGCAGAGCTGGTTTTGCGTATGCCTTGCGCCCTAAGTTCGGCCCCGCCCCCAAAAGTATGCAGAGTCCGGCGACTCCATAGCGAGGCCTCGCAACCGCTGGGAATAATCGCGCCCTAGTTATCCTTGTTATTTGATCCCCACTGGACCTGCCAATCTCGCAATCCCCAAACTACAGCAACTACAGTGCAAGTCAATTGCAAGAGTCTTTAGGCGCCTGCACCAGGCCACCGTGTCCTCCGCATCGCTGGGCGCGATTGTTGCCAGTGCCAGTGCCCTCAGCAGTGACGCCACGCCCTTCGTTGCAGCCTGGCCGGAGGGTTTAAAGTACAGCGTCCTGATTTTGGTGCCAGTATCCAAGAACAACACTTGGATGTGGAGACCAGTTTGATCCTCAGTAGAATTCAGGGCAGAAAACTGATAGCTTCCGATCCTTAAAGCCTCCTCCGGGCAGCTTTCAGGGTCAGAGGTGCTTGTGGAACCCTATAGAATCCGAAAACCCGTAAGGGGCGGCCGTTCCGTGGATTCAGAATTTCAGAATGGTTTGGAGGTTGAAGGATGTTTGCGGGGCTATAGCCGATGAGGGTGCAGCACTAGTGGCTTCAGGGCTTGGCAGTTTTTCTCCTGGGAGGGACATGTGCACTGAGGTCACAGGCCACAGCCGCAGTGACGACTTAGGGCCCAATATCATTCTGGAGTTCCCACCTCGTATCTCCTTACAGAAAATTGTTTGTGGGCCAAGTAGAGCCCAAGACGGAGTTTGAGTTGCAATTTCCGGTGCCCACAGGCAGACTTGGCCAACCAGTTTTCGGCCATTGGTGTCGACCCAGCTTCCTTGGTTGTCGAGGACAGTCGGGCTTTGGCCGGCATGCCATCAATCATGTACTGACTCCTCATGTGGTACTCCGTGCTGGCCAAAAAAGCGTTTAAAGCGGCCCAAAGATTGATGACTTATAATTAGATCATATTTGATCCTTCAGAGCGTCAAGCCGCAGGAGTTCGCAGAGTTGATGGTGTGGGCCAGAGCGTGCTGGTTGTTTGTCGGGGTTGAGTGAAGAAAGGCTTGGGAATTTACTGAGACGATTAGGTTTTATGTTTAGTCGATGGAGCTCGGTGCTGGGGGGTCTGCTGAACATGGCGAGTGGTAAGACTTGCAAGAGCGGCTAGTCACGTCCGCACTGCCGGAGCCGCTTATCGGCACGGCCCCCTTGCCACCTCATATGTAGATTTACAGTCCTCAGACCGTCCTCTCCACTTGCCGAGGTGGTGGGGCTCGAGCCAGTCAACGGATCTGTCTCTGAGGCACGCCGGCTGAGGTGAGAGGATTGGTTTACAGGCCTATAAGAGTCTTGCGGGGTTCAGAGGTTCGGGTTCAGTTGTTCTTGCCTACTCTGGATGAGGCGACCGGGACTCAGAGTTCGGATGCTTTGGATTGGGGATTTGGGATTTGGGTGCAGATTCTAGCAAGTTCCCGCCAAATTTCATTCCCCTCCCTCCCCGCCCCTCGCCGCCTTCAGCTGAGGCCTCCTCGAACGACTCTGAGTCGGATCCCATCAACCAGACCCGAAGGTTAAGGACGGCTGGCCAGCTCCACAGCCAAAAGCTTTAAGAGCCCTTGGAGAAGCCTCTTGTGGGGTTGAGCTTCGTACAGTATGTGGGCGTGACGGAGCGGATGTAGCTTTTCACCAGAGGCCATATACGCTTTGCACGCAGAGCTCTCATGCTGTCCAGGAGTTCCGGGCGAGAAGGTGAAGATTCAGATGCTGCAGACGTCTCGACTGATGCCATGGAGGACTGCTGACATGAGGGTGGGATATACTACGGTACCCGATGACTGTTTTGAACAGGCCCGGCGACTGGCATCCTTCGCTACAGCCTATGGAAATGTGACGGTGGCTCTCTGCACATGAGGGTCTATCTGACAGTCTATCTCGGACATGATCCCTTCTGGTTTCGGCGGCTAGGGCTCAGAGCGTTTCCGAGTTGGTGCGTCAGGTGTGTCCGTACATCAGCTCACCATACTCCTATGCATTCCTGGAATTTTGCCGAACCGCAAAGCCCCTTGGGCCCGCAAGTTCCTATGCTCAGGCTTGGTGTCGCGGACCAGAACTTGGAAATGTTTCTGTCGGTGTGGGCCCTAAGCCATTTGGGGTTTCAGTTTGTGCATGCCCTATAGACACTGCCAGTAGACAGTCGAGTTCCTTGCTGGAGGGTCCTGTCCATGCATGATGTGGAATTTGGCAGATTATGTTTGACGGGGGTAGGTTCACGGCATCCGTCGGTTCCCTGGCCACAATGTTGTGCGAGTAGCTCTTTGAATACACATCATGGTCCGGTGAATCGAGGCCATGGCTCGCATTGCAATATTCTAAGGCAACATCTAAACGTCTGTCGTGAGTGGAACATCGCACTTGCTCATGTGCTGAGGGAACAGCTCCTTCGAAGTAGCACCAGACCTGCAGCTCTCTCCCTACAGAATCTCGGCTCTTGCAGTGCCAGAGTGGAACTTAGCTTCAGAAGGTTTCGCCGGAGTCTGTTTGCATCTGGTTGCTTCTCCGCGGTGGGATGATAGTATATGAGCTTCCGGACCGTCACACACGTGCTGCTAGAACAGCCGTTTGACAAGTCAATCCCCCATCTCATATCTCATGAATTGCAATGAGAACGTCCGTACCGCATGTGAGCCCGTCTTTGCTTTCCTTTCTCATCATACCCGAGAATGATGTAACAGCCAGAGGAAGCGCATTCACCATGAGAGCCTACACACGACCCTTGCCATCAGGATACTTGTTGGTCTACGCGGCGTCCAGCTTGGAAGAGCAAACAACGCCCGCCTTCGTGCAGGCGCTCTGCGCGGGAGGGCCATATAGTACCATATAAATTGCACGTTGAGCATCATTAGGGTGAGCCATGAGTAAAGCAAGCTAGGAGGGAGGTACGTGTAGTCACAGTGTAGTCCCACTTGTTCACAAGATGCCTCGGTGTCGCAAGGGGCCTAGAGGGCCTGACTCTTTCGCTTACAGCTGTGCCGCTGTGCCTTCCGCAGGTCTATGACATGAGCGCCAGCGTGTCCAACATCCAGTTCCAAGGGCAGGACCTGACATGTAGAGGGCAGCACCTGTCTCATGCTTGGAGTTTACTTTGGGAATATATAATGGCTGTGGCTACATCTTACGGTAGCACCGATACAGCATATACAAATGTTCGAACGAAAGTTCGGGCGGTCAGGATTTGGTCTGACTTCGCAGGATTTGGACCTCGACCACCTCGGTGGCACGCTCAAATGGCAGAGCCCAGAGCTGACGGAGCGTGTGGATGTGCCGCCTGGCAAAACGCCAGTTCAAATCTTTGGGCTTTCAGGGTCGAATGCCGGGCAGTCTGCTCAAAGTCCGATATATTGCGTTCCCGACCCACATCATTCAGGGTTTTGGGGGCTAGCCCGGCCCAGGGCATAGCAATCAGGAAATCAGGCAAATCAGGCTGGTCATTGGTCATCTGTTCATGTTCAGGGATCAGGCGTTGTTTTGGGAGAGCCTTTCAGCTTCTGAATTCTTCGTGCAAACCCCTTTTTGGCCATGTACCGACGAGCACAAATCCAACATTTCAACCCACGTCCAAATCTGCAGGCACTTGGGGCCCAAAGCCCCGCAGACTCTCACGAGGTATGTGCTCTACTTGGCCGAGAACGCTTTCGGCGCTCGGCGCTCGCAGCTGGGCCCCGAACTTCCGAAGGAGGCGACATCGCAGCAGGCGCGGGGGGCGAATCCCTGCCCCAAAACCCCACACACTCGACTTGACCAGGTGACAAGAAGCCTTCTGAACTCTGAACCCATCTAAACCTATGTATCGAGTCCCCCAACCAACGCACCCCAAGTCGAAACTCCACAAAAGACACCAAAGCCGGCGACGCCCGCAATGGACGTTGGAAGAAGGTGCCTCCGGATACTCTACGCCTCGCCTTCAACCACTTCACCATCTTCACAAAGTCGACGCTGGTGGCCCCTCCGGTGCAGGGTGAGCTCATGCCCTTGGGGCCTCGGGGATAGGGGGATGCTTAAATGGGGTTGCTTTGGGAATTGAATCTGGGTGCCTTGGGCATAGGATGTGACCACCTCAAAGGGCTAACTGAGACATTTTTGCACCTGAAGATGCCTCAGATCCCCAAGTCCGTGTTCGTGGGCTCTTGTGACTCTTGTGGTTTGACCCTCACAAGAGCAAGACAGCAAAACACAAAAGGGCAAGTAATCCGGCTGCCGGGAGACCTAGCTCCAGCTAAGGAGCAAACCACCCCCGCTGCTCTTGCCTTCTTCGATGAGCTACCTGGCTAGTGCATAGGAACATGTACAGGCTCTCAGCCCGGGGTTTCATGTGCCAACTCTGTGAGGGACAGATCAGAATGCGGAAGCCCTCGGATCTGCAATTGGTGTGGATACGGTCTCCTTTTGTCCCAGAAGCATACATACCAAGTATGCGTACTACATGCTCTGGCGCAAGGTTTGCTTTGGCCGCCAACATGAGCTTCACGGACGAGGATCTGGATGAGACTGAGATTGGTGGAAATTTGACATGGTATCCGCCGGAAGATACCAGCGAGGTCCAAGAAGCTTGGTTATTTCGAATTGAACAGCGGTATCTGCCTATGCGCTGTACACTTACACGCTCAAGGCTTTCTGCACTGGTTCTGCAGTTATTGTCCCTGACTATGGAAACCATGGGCTCTGGTAAAGACACCCCTGAATGCAAGGCCCGCGCTTGTTTGGACCGGCTGGACACTGATCGAACCAGCGGAAAAAAGGACGAGTAAAAAAGGCTCACAAAATGGGATAGGAGCATAGGCACACAATGTACGCACGATCTCACGTGGCTGAGCAGAGTTTAAGGACTACCTGGTATACCTGGCCGAAGATGCGACAGGCAAAAATCGGTTGCTGAGCTGAAGGAGTCAAGCAGCACAAAAATTGACAGCGAAACATCTGGAATGCCTTCCTCCACAAACATTCAACATAGCCCTCTTGTGCCCTAAGCTGAGCTTCTTAACTCCCAAACTTCCCTCTACCCTTCAACAGGCCAGCTTTGTTCATATCTAACAATGCAAGTTCAAATTCAGTTCGTGGGGCAAGGTCTTTGATTGGCATCGTTCCGAATGGAACCCACGACCTTCCTATTCCGGCAGACACGGCCCTCCTGTCCTTCACGCACCTGACCCTTGGCTGCTTGGGGTCCCAATTGAAGCCTGAAATCTGCTGCAGGTCCGGCGGTCATGTTCGGGATATGCTTCTGCAGAGTTGCAGACTTAGAGAGTGGTGAGATTAGGAGTCCAGGTGAGCTTTTCTAGCCTTTCTTGGGAAGGAACGGTCAGGGCATGGCCAGGAGCTGAGCTCCTGGTTTCGGATGCTTATTAGTGATGCTGAAGTTTCGGACCTGGAGATCCCTTTGTGGTCTGCACTTTCAAGCTCGAACTTGCTTCATGCTCGTCAGAATACGAGGTTGAACAGACACAGACACAGACACCTCTTGAATGCCTGATCCGATCTAATCCACGGACTTAAAGGACTCATGGCTTACACTAAGGACAGTTTTCGCGAGATCTGAGCTCGTGGAACAGACCACGCCGTTGGCGCTGGCTATCGTCGACTCCGTGAGCAGCGCCGCCGGGATTGGGTTAGTTTGGCAAGAAAAGATGATTTTGTTGGCCACTCCGCTCAGGCATCCCATCCCTTTCATTCCTTCAGAACGATCCGAGAGCGATGAACAACAGCACCCAAGAAAGTCAATACTGCGCGTATCCTCAGTGTCACAGTGTGTGCGAGGGTGTGCACGTGAGAGCGCGCGCCGTCGGGGGGGTATCCTCAGTGTCACAGAGTGAGCGAGTGTGTGCGTGCACGTGAGCGCGCAGTGTATGCCACAGGACTCCCAAGCCATGCGCACGCTGCAAAAGCCAGAGAATCATGCGGCCCGGCAGTTGCCATGCCAATCCAGATCTAGAGGGTCCAATGTCCGATCCATTTTGCAAAGACATGTACCTCGTTTGCATAATCTTACAAGGCCTTGAACCCGAAGACCACTGAAGACGGCTTAGGTGTCCAATGTAAACTTCACAGATCTGGACTTGGACGTCGGTGATGTCGGCGGGACCTTGGCCCCCTGAAGGCACTCCTGATTGAGCCAAGAGGTCCGAGAGGTTAGTTAGAGCCTATGAAGCTTGAGGCGAAAAAATCAGGGCCAGGCAACTCGCATCCATGGAAAGAGGCCTAGAGGATTTAGGTACTGTGCAAAAAACGGTGTGCTGTTGCCAAAGGAGCTGGCGAGGTATGAGGTATTCGGTTTATTCGTTCCTCGGGGGCTTTGGATGCCTCCTCCCTGAGCTCCCTTGCCACTCCCCCCAGACTACCCCAAACCATCCAGCTTTACTACAAATCCTGGCACAACATCATCAATCGCTTGCTGATGAAGCTGAAGAATAAATATCGTTTTCGATACGACCTTCCCTGGACCCTTTCATGTCAGGCAGTTCGGATGACAGATACTTCTCTTGCTGAACTGGAGGTCAAGTTGGCCAGTCAAGACCTAAGTGAGTTGAGCAAGTTAAGCTGGCCAGAGCCGTCTAAGGAGTGGTCGCTCCCTTCGAGCGATATCGAGCTTCACGGCTGCAAATATTTGCAGTCCGCAACCCCACATTCCAGCTTTGACTGCCACGCCAGTCCCAGTCACTTCCAGATGGTCAAAGCCTTGGAACACAGCCCAAAACCAATCTGGAAGACGGGGGGGGGGGGGGGGTGTGCAATTCCTAGACGAAGATGATATCCCCTGCTATATGTTGAGATCTTGCCTCCGGACTGTGATTGAAGATGATGCCACAGAAAAACTACAATCCTGGATGTAAAGTGGTTTATGCTGGCCAGGCACCAGAAGCAGATCATGCACATATCCCAGCGCCGCATGTGGAACTTGAACAAGCCCAAGTCAACAAAGCAGCTCGAGGTTAAGATCAACAAACATGTATCTGAATCTGTACAGTCCCCAGCGTCAACAGCGGAGGTTGCCCGTTTTAAGGATTCTGGTGACATACAGTTACTGAAAGCCATAGCCATGCGAGGCTTTCTGGCACTCTGCTGAGGATTCTTGGGCCTGTGGAACTGACCCCTCCACCCCCCCAAAGAGCCCTGAGCCTAAACTGAAACAGCTCCCCTTACCCCTCACAAAGTCTCTTCTCGGCAGGCTGGTTGAGGCCTACTACGTCTACTTCTCCACCAGCCTGGGGCCTAAACATCGACAGGTTACGGGACATTTCAGCTTGGGCCCCCCACGCCCTCCCTCCCCTCTCAGTTGTGTAGCTTACTTGTGTATGAGTGCGTGCTCGTCATGTACGAGATGCCGAGGCCAGGCTTGTTTTTGACACTCATAAGTTAGCTTTAAGCTTTGTTAATTGATACAGCAGCTTCGTTTGAATCTAGAGTTCAGATGGTTCGAACAGCTCAAGGCTTGAACCAGAAATCCTGAATCCTTTCGGTTTCTGCATTTACGATTTGAACATGTTAAAAAGGATAATCTCGCACTCAGGTGCCTCTGGAGACACTCGGGATCTCGTGTCGGTGCGAAGCTCCTCCATTGGCACGCAGGAGTCTGCCTCGTCCACCATGCCAAACAAAGCCCCCATCCCTCTGGGTTTTGTTATGTAAGGCTAAATTGTGGGCTCCCCCGCTTCAGGAGATTTTGGCAGACACGAAGCTCCTATCCTTCGAGCATTTGCCATTTGGCAAGAAATCTGTGTTGGGGGGACTTGACTGTGCTTCAATTCTTCTCCAGACTGTTGCTTCACTTTCGCGGGTTTGGCTTGGGATTCTTCAGACCAGGCACGCCCCGGCCCCCCAGGGTTTACGCAAAGGATGGCCCTGGAGAGCTTGTTTTTAGGATGGGGCCTTTCCATGGTACTGACCCAGGCTGGTCTACACCAAGTCTGCCCTGGTTGAGCAGCAGCTTGCTTGCAAGAACCAAAGTCAAATTAGCCGAAGCGGAAGAGCAAACTCATCGCCCTGCGACTTCCTAGCTCGGGGCCACTGTTCTAGGTGCCTGCCGCTCTCCTCTAGAGCCTGTAGGCGAACATGAAGCCAGTATCAAGGTGCACATTCTCGAAGCAAGTACTGTACCATATGCCTTGCATGAGCACCTGCAGAAAGTAGAAACACTATGACAAGCTTAAGCCCATGGGGGTGATTTGCATGACGGTAGGACCACTCCCGCCTCGGTGGCGATCTCGGATTTGGCTGTGACTGCCCTGAACCTGAGCAGCTCGGCGTATTTTGGAGGTTGTTTTTTACATAGTCTCGTCTGAAATTCAGGGTTTGGGTCCATAAGTTTAGCGTCCGGGGCACCCGCCAGATTAATTTGCGAGGTACCCATACGCGGCTTCAACCTGCCACCCTCCCAAGAGAGGCCGCCAAACTTTCCTCACAGGCTTCCCGGACTACGACTTGGACCAAGAAGATCTGGGGGGCAACCTTACCTGGTTGGAGTCGGATGATCTGCAATATGTGGACGTCTATCGAGCTTCCTATCTGCATGGTAAACAGATCATTCCCTGGGCGCTGAGCATCTACATGTCCCAACAGTATTACCTTGCAACAACAATGTGTCTGTGTGTGTGGTTTTGTAGACATTGTGGACGACTGGGTGCGAGCCAGAGTTTTCCACTTCTCAAGGTTTACATGGCAATCGCAACAGACAGCTCCGACAATGGTACCACCGAGGCGGCTCGCGTGAATGATGAACACGACAAAGAAACGCGTAGATAAGGTGCAGCAGTTCACCATGCGATTGCAGGGAAGATGTTCCAATTGTGTCCAGTGGAGTTCTTAACATTTCGGGTTGCCCAAGCCCAGTGGTTGCAATAGCTGCTTCCTGCCATATTCTGTTGGAGCCCGCAATCGATAAGATGTCTGAGGAGACGAGTGTTGAATTCTGAGCCAATATTTACTATGCGAAGTATTTTTTCGGGGTTGTAGGTTTTTTGTCGTGTTTTTTTGCGTATTTGGCCGTTCAAGTTACAGTTTGCTTCCTCGTCAATCGCAGCCCTCACCTCTTCCAGGGCTCGGAAGCTGCTGACGCACTTCAGATAGCGGAGCGCTCGCTGATTGCAACCGTGCCAGTTGGCACGACCGAGACTCGCATTAACGGCATGGCTGTCCCACAAAAGCACCACTTGGGGCTCGGGCTCAGCAGCTCTACAGTCTGCGGGTCACGAGTTAGGACTTTGCATCTTGGAAGTGTTCAAAGGAAATTTCGAGCTGAGGTATGGAGCTTTGGAGCTTTGGAGCTTAGAATGGCCTTTCCAAACTTACTGCGGCCCGATGTAGCTCTACTACAACCGGGGCCGTGATACTTAAACAGAATTGGGCATCCTTCTTGTCGGAGCGTCTTAATGCTGAATTCAAAGCCTGACAGCCCATTCCAAGGAACTGATCATCCCTCCAGACACGCCGTTGACCAGCAACTCCAGCTCCTTGGCATTGGTTGTTTGAGGCTTTTCTTTGGAAACGAGAATCCCGAAACATCCCTGCGGCTGCAACAATCCACCAAGGCCTCTTGTTCACTCATTTCCTGATCTACGCCGAGTCAAGCCTTGCCGTGCAGAGCGTCCCAGCCCGCGGCTTGCTTGCAGCGTCTGGCTTTGCTCGTCGCAGGCCGAACTTTCAAGCCCTACAATTCTACAAGCCCTCATCGGTTCAAGCTAAGCCATATCGTTGCCGAGGGAGTGGGGATTTGCACGCTTTAGAATCTAGTCCGCGTCCTTGGGCCATCAGTATC